GTGGGGGTGTGCACCGCTGTACGTCCAAACTTTGTTTTTGAGGCTGCCATGGTGGAAGTGAAAAAAAAAGAGACGCGAAAACGAGCGGACGCCGTCGCGAAGAGTCCGGGCAAATAAGGGGGGTTTGTCTTCCCGATTGTCTGCCTGCAGTGGAGATGCGCCGACCCGCCGGACGGAAGGGCCCCCGCACCCCCCCGGGAGTGGCCGCCGGGACCCCACGCCCCGGTCACCAACCGGCACGACGGTCCACCCCGAGATTATGCGTGACATGATGGGGCAGCCTCGCGAACTGGTTAGGAACGCTTGGGCCCCTGTACTGTGCCACGGGCGGCCAGCGGGACAGCCGTTTCTACGGGTCTCCCTGGCCGACGGGTCGATGCAGTCCTCCCGGCATCGGTTCCACGGATGCCTCCCCTGGACCGAATCCTTCGCGATAACTTCCACTCGAGCTCTGGTTGTACGCTGGCTGACCCCGAAACGCGCGAGAAGCACTTCACGGGTTTTTCACCATGCGCACGGTGGTAACAAACCAGGCGGGTGTTAGGCACCCTACCACCAGAAGAGCGGATGGAAGCTCCGACATCCCTTAGTCGCTTCTTACGACACCCACGGGAAGAAAAGGGGCGGTGAGTTGTATTCTTTCTCCGTCACCGCACGGATAAATCTTTTGAACGTATTATTTATTTTATACTTAATAAAAAATATATACTTCCAGACACATCTATTGAATGCCTTACAACGTTTTTCAACACATTCGCTTCGACAAAACAGTACCAAACTTAAGAAAATATTACTAGAAAAAATATTCCACGCGGCAGCAGACGGGACTCGAACCCGAACCCTTCGCTATCCGGGCGAATGCACTGACCATTACGTTACCGCGCCCCTGATGGCGGTGTCGCCTATAATGGCGATGGCCTTTAGACATCGAGCAGTTACTTGATTAAAAAAAAAACAAAAAATATAGTACCTATCTTATTGGAGTAATGAAGCAACTTTTCCTAATATGAAAATGGCCTGCATTTCCAAATGGCGCCACGTGCGTATGGTGAAAACTAGAACAACATCTTTCGTCTCTTTTTCTTTTAAGTATAAACGAGAGACAAAGGTATTGATTAAAATCGCTTCCAAGGAGCTTCGACCGAAATAAAGAAAACTGTAACAGATACGCGCGGCGCCACGAATGAGAATGTGCGGTAAAACAGTTTACCGCACGTTTTTTGGAACGTTTTATATTTCAACAGTTGCTCAAAAAATGCGTTTGGAGCGGCGGAGCTTGTATATGTACATTGTTCGAAAGTTCAAAATTACGAACGAGTCGGACCTCCTCGGAAGCGCTTTTAATTTATATTTTTGTCTCATTTTAATACAAAAAAGATGTAACTAACTTGTATGGCCAACCTTGAAAGTTCAAAATAGGGTATTTGACAGTATTAAAAATAAAGTGCCAATTGTTAGCATCGATATTTAGAATGAATATTCATAACGATGGAGCCATAATACCCAAAGTGGAAGTGGAATGAATATTGGCAGGGGTTCTGACTATTTTTACAAAAAAAACATAATTTTACCAAAAACCCACGAAAAAGATAAAAGTTTTCTTCTAATGTCACGTGACCCAAAACGCTTGGGATTGGCGGAGCCTAAAATATGTCACACGCAAGTAAACTTCCGGTTAAAGTGACATTACATTGTATTGTTTGACGTTTTAATAACAGTCGTGTGACGTCACACACTAGTAAGACGCCATATTGTCCAGAGAAACGTTTTCGCGGCAACTTGAAAATGGAGTTTTTGTGTGGTTACTTTTACTGAAATACACAACAGAATGATGAATATCCACTTTTTACGGACTCCATAAACATTAGTCAATAACGTGAGATCGTTTTCTAAAACTTGTCAAAAACCCTATTATATTATATATTATAATTTTGAACTTTCGAATAATGTATACAACCTCAGTGAATGCATTTTTTGAGTAAGTGTGTTCAGTAACCCCAAACACGAACCATTATCGAATTCGAATAGTTTGCAAAACGAAATGTCAATGTCAAATTTTGTATGGAAACTTGAACACCAGCGGCACAAAGTACGTAACGAGAACTAAAAACCAGTACACATTTGACAATGACATTTCGGACTCGCAAACGATACGAATTCGATATTGTCTCGTGCTAAGGATACAGAACTATATTTCATTTTTATATTTTCACTAGCTGCCCCAGCGCACTTCGTACTGCCATAAAAAATAGGGGTTGGTGGTAGAAGGGTGAAAATTTAGGGGTATTTTTCTATGATTTATTATAAAAAAATTGCCAAAAAAATTTTTTTAATGGAGATCTACCTTGACATTTAGGGGGATGAAAAATGGATAGTTGTCCGATTCTCAGACCTACTGCATATGCATATAAAATTTCACGAAAATCGGTCGAGCCGTTTCGGAGTAGTTCAATTACGCACACCGTGACACGAGAATTTTATATGAGATTTCACACAAATCCTTAAAGCTATTCTAGACGGATGAAATCCAGCGTTCCAACCAAGGTGTCCTTGGTGTGAAGTAACGCAACTGTCTTTGGTTGGATGTAATCCGCCGGCCAAACGGTTGTAATCCACGCGCTCCAACCGCGGATGTAAACACGCGCCCGTAATCCAAGGACGTTGAAGGTCAAATCAAAATTTGGATTACATCCTTCGTCTAGATCCTGAGTTCCGAACCTGGGGGTAATTACCCCTCCGGGGGTAAATCAGCCATACTTCGGGGGTAACAAAGAAACTAATTATTTGGTCAAATCTAAATAATAAGAAAATATATCTAATACATAAAATTCTCGTGTCGCGGTGTTTGTGGTTAAACTCCTCCGAAACGGCTCGACCGATTTTCGTGAAATTTTATATGCATATTCAGTAGGTCTGAGAATCGGATGTAATCTATTTTTCATCCCCCTAAATGTTAAGGGTAATCCACCCCTAAATATTTTTTTTCAATTTTAGATATTTTTGTTTTTTTTTAATTTTTTTATGAAACAGCATTAGTAAATACATACAACCCTAAATTTTCACCCTTCTACCACCAACCCCTATTTTTGTGGCGGTACGAAGTTCGCTGGGTCAGCTAGTAATATCTCTTATCTATTAGACAAGTCCGTCTGACTGTGGTGCTGTTTCAGCGGCCAAACCGTAAGAGATAGATAAAGAGAATATTTAGGTTATAAATTAAGAATAGTCTGATAAGACTACAAACCAGATTTGAGTAACGTAGCACTTCCGGTTTTCGAGAAATCAGGTTTTGGTGAACATTTGGTTCACTGGTTTGCTAGTATATAATAATACTACTAAATAGAGCATGCGCTCCATCTTGCTAGCGAGCCCGCGGGGTGCTGAGTGTGGGAAGCGGTGCGAGAATTTCTCCTGATGATGACATTATTAGAGACGAAGATGTAGCGGCCGAATTGGAATTTCTTGGACTGATGATAAAACTTTAAAGTCGGGGTAAAATCTGTTTTGCTAATAGGTTACAGGGGTAGCAGTATTGGAAAGGTTAGGAACACTGCGCTAGATGGATGGCAACGGGCAAGTTCACCTAAGTTGGTACGCTGGATTACATCCGTCTGGCATAGGTCTTACCTTCAATCCCCGTTGTAATCTCTTAATATGTTTTTGCGCCTTCCTCAATTTGCTACTGATTTTGTCTTTCCTCTTCTCTTTGGCTTTGGACACGAGTGATTCAATCTCTACATCGAAAGGATCCACATTTACACTGTCTGTATCGTTGTCTTCATGTATGTCTTTATGTTCCGGATCTAGTTTATCTTCTTTATTTTCTGTTACATCTATGGTAATTGGAGATTTGTCTCTATGATTGGTTAGAGTGTTGTCCAATGGGCAACGAGTAAGATTCTGCAAGATTCCATAGACTAACATCACAATAAATAAATACATTAGGATAAATTTGCGAAGAACAAATTGTTATGATAAAATTTTGCACGAGTACTACAATTAACATTATATCACTTTTTTATCGCGTCTGACTGTCAAATTCCATGGTAATTTGACAGTTGAGCATGATAAAAACGCGTTATATTTCATATCGCGGTGTTTATGCTAGGGGCAGGAGAATGAAGGACAATTGACTCTTCAATCGGTGCAATAACATCACAATTGCATTTTTACAATTTTTATTCTACTGCCAGATGTTTAAAACTAAAGAAAATTTTACTAGAAAAAATTCCACTCGAACCAGGCAGGCAGGGACTCGAACCCGCAGCCTCTGCTATCCGGGCGGATGCCCTGACCGTTATGCTACCGCGGCTAGTTATTATCTAATTTTCTCTAGTATTTCTTAGGCTAGGCAGCGACATCTCTTCGCATTGTAGATAACCCACAATGTCATATTCATTTGACATTTTGGGTAGCATAATGGTCAGTGCATCCGCCCAAATAGCAGAGGGTACAGGTTCGAGTCCCGCCTGCTGCCTGGTACGCGTGGAATTTTTTCTAGTAAAATGTTCTTTAGACTTAAACATCTAGCAGTTATATTCTTAAAGAAATATATGTAACTAGAACTAAAATGTGTCTTTTTGTTTTTCTTAAAATCTAGACCACTGCTAACGCTAAGGGGCCGTTCAAGTGTTACGTAAGCAGATTTATTACAATTATTTACCCCCTCCTCCCCCTTGTCAGCAAAAGTAAGCAAAGCTCTTACCCCTCCCCCTCATGCTTACGTAAACATTGGTACCTATATGCATTTTTCCTTTTATGTATTCTGTTTTTTTATTGATTCATAAGTTTTCATGAGCAGCAGTACTTAAATAGGCTTAGTCCATGATGATGACGTAATCATCATCTCGACCCCCCCCCCCCCCGTCATCAAAAATAAGCAAAGCAAAGACCCCCCTGCCCCCTATAGTGCTTACCTAATACTTGAACAGCCCCTAACCACTTGCGCCATCAAGCTCCCCAATTTTATCATTAGCTTCATTCTAAATAAAAACACTTACCTCTAATCCGTTCCGAGTTCTCTTGGGTTTAGTTGTTTTTTTAGGTTTCTTCTTCTTGTCTTTCGTTTTGCTTTTCTTCTTAGCCCTATCGATGAGTGTTTCGATTTCAACATCTAGAGCGTCAACAGTGACACTGGGAGGGCGATCATCGTCGTAATCTTCACTGATATACAAAGAAGTTTCTATGAAAACAGCAAAAAAAATATTTATTTATTTACTAATTTAGTACACACACAATAAAAACAGACTAGTGAACCAAATGTTCACCAAAACCTGATTTAAAAAAAAAAGTATTTAATTAATTGAGAACTTCGGAGATTTTGTGTGGTTTCGTTTGAAATTCGTGATTTCTCGAAAACCGGAAGTGCTACGTTACTCGAATCCGGTTTGTAGTCTTATCAGACTATTCTTAACTTATATCTTAAATATTCTCTTTATCTATCTCTTACGGTTTGGCCGCTGAAACAGCTCCGAATAAATTCATACATAGACAATAAAAAAAAAAAAAAAAAAAAAAAAAAAATTTTAAAAATCTTCCAATGAAATAACCGAACGCACAATATAATTCTTTCGAAGGTAGCTCGACAATTTTAAATAAAATCATTATTCTGACGATGCAGACCTGAAAAGGCTGCGAAACGTCAATAAATAAATAAAGTTTCGTGCATTAACCCGTAAAAACTAGTTTTATTTAATGAGTGATGTGCGTGAAAACCTAAGAAACAAATATTTCCGATGTCGCAGTAATTAATTTGATCTAATTTATTGAAGATTATTGAGAGATTGAGGCGTTTGAATTTGTGCATATTATCGTTTTTTTTCGTAAACTAGCTGCAGTAGAACGATTAGTACTTAAAAATGAAAATAGTATTTGTATATGTACAGTATATGTATTCTATCCGTTACCCTAGTATCCCATAACACAAGCCTTACAGTGCTTTGTTTGGGGCTAGGCTAATTGGTGTGAGTGTTGGAAAATATATATATATATATATATTGTCGCGTGTAACGCTCGTGACGCGGTTCTTCCTTCGCCAAGTTACCCTCTAACTTTCATGCTCATCGGGAATAGCTGCGCTCGCCAGGCGTTTTCGGTTACATTCATTAAAACAAAAAGGGACGATACAGCACTCGCAGCTCAAAAGTGATCTGCTTAAATTATTTTACCGCTCCGATTATATGGTGCATGACCACAATTTGATTAAGTCAGAATTGGACATTCAAACACGCTGCATGTGCACTCAATATAAAAATATTGCGTATATTCTGTGTTATAAAGATAAAACAATGCCTTCGATTATTCATGTTAAATCATTGCATAATTACCCTAATAAATAGTGTGCACAGACTGTTATATTCGAGTATAGATTGAGTGAATTCGTAGTCATAACATTGAAACGGTTGTGATATAGAAATTGTTAAAATAAATATTTTTTATCAGTTGATATAAGTAAATACAAATATATTTGAATATTATGTTAACAAAGTAAAATAAATAAATAATTATGTAATAATAAATCAATGCTGTAATAATAATAATTCATTATATAAGATACATTTTGTAAGTAAATAAATAAATAAATACACATGCCAAAATTGGTACTTTATTTTTCACACATTCAAATAACCTATTGACAAATTGTTGATAAAAATCATTGACGTTACTGACTGCTGACGAATTTCTATGTAATTATTTTTAATACCTTTTTTGTCCCAATCAATTTTCAAGTCATCGTTCAGGTTGTCGCCAGGTGATGTACACTGAGTATTCGTCTCCTGAGTCGGTAATATTGACAAAGTAGACACTTTCCCTTGACAGAGTCGCGGCGAGCGCACAACATCCGATAGCAAGCATTCTTGAAGATTCTGCAACAAATTTATTTTGAAATGCGTTTACTTATAATCACATAATGTAAGCCGCACGTCAGGACATGAGATTTTCCCTAGCCTCTAAATAATATTAGTTAATTATAGCTTTGAAGATAGGTGTACTCTGAGTGTTGAGAGTTACCTGAAAAAACTTTACTAGCTAATTCAGACAATGAATTTAGATTATATACCTGAAAAAAAAATAAAAATTTCAGTGTCTCCACGTTAACCCAATAAATGCGTAATTATGAAATCTTATCAATTGTAACTGTCATAAATTGATTAAAATAAAACTACTTTATTAAGATTATGGATCTAAATACTTTAAACGGACATGGATCTACATAATTTGGCATCTGGTAACCTAGTTGCAAACAGCTGATTTTGAATTGAATTGATTGAAATTAAAATTTTATTTAATGGTATATGTAAAGGTCATACACAAATTAACCAAGAAGTAAATGGTAAATATAAAGTTTAATAATGTATACACAGTGTAAATTCAGTGTTTTCATAAATATTTATGCTCATAAACTTGTGACAGATACCAGCTTTTTGCGATGCCTTGTAATCAAAATTTAAGGTATTATTTTCTAGTTTTATTATACATTTGATTAGATTTGAAGAATGTGCACTCAAAAACTTATTAGCTTGTATGAGTTACAGGACATTTTGTAAACTTTGTAAATTTTGTAAACTATATAAATCAATATTTTTGTATAACGGTGTATTACCTTTACTGTTTGTAACTAACCTCACTATTTTTATTTACACAATTAGGTAACTAAAATTTCACAATGTATAATTTCTACTCTGTACCATCTCGCGCAATCCTTTGTTAGAACGTTAGTAAGCGTTAAATCTGAAAAAGTTCAATAATCATTTATTCAGTTACAAATTTACCTCTGTAGAATAAGTCTGTAGGATTCTGTAGGAGTCTTGCACCTGCTCCTTGAACTTAATGACCTTCCTCGTGAGAGCATCGCATTCCCAGCAGACGTGAATATTAACTATAGGAGTGTTGCACAACTGAAAGGTACACATATATTATATTGTAAGCAATGTATTTTATTTAAATATCATAAATGTAGAAATTATCTTTTTAGCGTTGTTAATTAGCATTGTTTGTAATTATGTAGAATTTAATTAATTAATGTGTTTATGATGTAAAAACTTATTGGAAATAAATTATTATTATTAACCTTTAAATAATTAGGCCATACTTATAAGATTGTGGCACCTATCATCGGCAAGAGTCAGTGATCAACATTTATTTCTCTCATCAATGAAAATAAGTGCAGGTAGCCGTTTACTAACTGTGATATGTTTAATGATTGGTCGACTACTCTTATTTTCATTAATCATGGAAGGGAATGTCAATTATTGGTTCTTGTCGGTCATTGGTGCCAATGGTATTGATTCTGGCATGATTCTCTAAACCTAAACTTCAATTTCACAACAGTGTATTTTTGTCATTCTCTTTACAGAATTAAAATAGGAGGGAGTGAAGTTAAATATAGTTTAAGTTTAGCAAATCATGCAAGGATCTACAACATTACCTTAATGATTTTTGATTTAACTTTTAATGATTTCATCAATTTACAATTAGAATACTGTGATAATTGTATAATAAAAAATATAGTTGATATTTACCGGTATTTCATTGAAAGTATTTACATAGAATTGTTTCATTTTTTCATCTGCAATCCTGTGTAGTGTACGCTCAACGCACAAACACGCCATGCACAATAATTTCAAAGGAATTTCTTTTTCTTCCATATTTACAACAAAGATTTAAATTTTGCATTCACTAAATAATTCCTAATTCATAATGGTCTTCACAAAATCTATAATTATCTTGAAAAGTGATGCCTTAACACTAATAATGTACGTATTGACGACTTGGATATTAAATTGTTTTAATCTCATTCATAATAAATAATTTCCTACTTTAGAAATGTACGAATTTCAAGGAATTTTTATAGAATTTCCTAAAGATTATTTCTATAAAAAAAAAAACCGGTTAATAGACATGAATTATTTTAACTCATGCGTATGTACAGTTACAAGCCTTATTAACTTTTCGTAAGTAGCCACAGTCCTTCAAGCAAATAAATATTTTATTCCTTCTAAATCGGACCATGTTTATTTTATTTTAGACTTTTAAAAACAAAATAAAACAAATCAGCGCCATTTTTAGGCTAGGGTAGAAGGCAGTTTCCTAATTGAATTATGATCAATTCAATTAGTAAATGTCAAATAGGAACGTTCTTGTGAATCGGTATGAAAATATATTCGAATAATTCGCTGACACTTTTTAATAAAACCTATTGATATTGCAATTTTAGAAAATGCCCTTTGAGTTAAATAGAAGTAGAGAGAAGTGTTAAAGGTACTTTTCAACTTAATTTATGTCCATGCGTTTGTTAAATACGTCCATAGTCCATGTCATGTTTGACGGCTTTATAATTTGACAGTATTTTATTTTTATTTAGAATAGCAACACTGGGTAAAGCAGCCATTTTGTGGTGTCGTTATTAAGTCGTGTGTTCTTCATAAAATTTCGTCTATTTTACATTGGAAGTGTTACTTTTTGTTATGATATGAGCATCTTCAAAACAAAATCACCGCTTTTAAAAAGTTTTTGATTGAGTTGTTGGATTTAATTTACAGATAAAATATTGTAAAAAACGTGAGAGAAGATATTGCTTATTGTACTGGAATGCTAGGCTAGTTAATGACGATATTATAGTGGAGTCAATTATTTATTGTATTATTTAAATATTAAAAATAATACTGTAGAACAAATCATGGAACAAGATGTGCACACCACGTATAGTTCAGTCTGCAGTACTTGCCTCAGCAGAGATAGATATGTGTATACCATAAATGAGTCCCATTTGGTGTATCAACAGGTTTTTCGTTTACTGATGCACGACTTTGAAGCTGATCGAGTGAGTAGTATTGAATCCAACTAATATTAAAAATGTGAAAGTTTGTGTTTGTTACTCAATTACGCAAAAATAGTTTAAAGGATTTGGATAAAATTTTACACACAGACAGCTTATAATCTGGAAAGAGACATAGTATACTTTTAGTTATGAAAAAAGATTTAGGTTCCTGAGGTATTTTCAAAAAACTGAAGTAAACGCGGATGAAGTTGCAGGCAGCCAGCCAGTAAAATAATAAATGTTGGCCTTCCATCCAAAAAAAATATTCTTGCCCCAAACTAAGCATAACTTTTACTAGATAATGTTTAGACATACTTAAAAACATTCATGACAGGTAGGAAAATGATTGTGTTTCATCACACAGATGTTTGCCCTCTCTGGGATTCAAACCCAGGACTGTTGGATTTGCATTTAAGATCTCTAACCAAGCAGCCACCATCATATTTGAGTCTAGTTTATATATAAAATACTGCTAATTAACATTTAATTTAATTTTTTCAAATGAATTGCAAATGTTATTCTTATTGGTTTTTTGAGTATTGGATGTACAAAACTTTTGTGTAAACAAATTTTATTAGTTGTATTGTCAGTAGATATTCTCTTTTAATATTTTCTTAGTATTTATTTTATAAAAATTAATTGAAAAGTGATACTTCAAATATCACATTTCAAAGTTTTCAAACCCCCAATTTTCTCCCAATCCACTAAATAATAATATTATTCATTTCATTCATTTATTCATTTTCATATTTGCATTTCAGTTTGGTGACCAAGCTCCAAAAATTGAGCAAACAGTGTGTTGGGAATGCCTTGCAATCATGAAGAAATTTAGCCGATTCAAAAATCAAGTGCACAATGCACAAGAGCATTTGTACATCCTTGCCATGAGTAGAACACAAGAGGTATTTATAAATAATAATAAATAAATAAATATTTCCAACACTCACACCAATTAACCTAGCCTCAAAGTAAGCATTATAAGGCTTGTGTATGGGATACTAGGGTAGCGGATAGAATACATATAACATACATAACATACATATATAAGTATATTTATATAGAAATACATATTAAACATCTATGACTGGAGTACAACTGCTCGTAGTCATCACACAAACATTTGTCCCCATCCGGATTCGAACCCGGCCGACCTCTCAAGTTGGCAACACCATGAAACCTTGAGTACAACCCACTTGGCCACAGAGTTCGTCAATTTATTTCTTGTGTAATACTTTTAAGTTGAGAATGGAACCTGTAAAGAATCCCAATTACACAAGAGGTAAATAACAAAAAACAACAAATGATTTGTATTGTTATTTTGAACATTAAGTTGCTAAGTTTCTTCAATACACATAGCAGAAAGCATAGGCCTGTCGATACCTAGTCTGTGTGGAATTATTTCTACAACTTGCCAACTCTGTATAATAAAGGGTACAAAAAAAAAGCCTTTCCTAAGTTTCTCTCCAATTCTGCTTAGTCTCAACAAGGTCTCAGGCTGTAAAATTTGCGAACCAATAGCGTAGTTCCTCGATCTTCACAAGTGCTTGTAACAGCCAACAATCAATAAAAGTCTAAATATAAAATAAATAATAATCTCACCCTAATTTTGAATACATTTCCAGACTATGGATCACACATACATGTCTCAATCCCTATCCACTCTCGAAGCTGTCACCAAACGTGACTACGACAAGATATATCTGTACTACACTCAAGACGAGTGGCCCCAGTCATTTATAGTCAATGCTGGAGATGTTAAGAACGAACAGTATGATGTAGCACAGGCGGTCAGGGATAATATACAGCTGAATATTGATGATCATGTGCTTGAAGGTAATTTATCTTTGTTAAAATTAAACAGATGTCTACTAACATACCATAAATTGAAGCTGTCGTCTGAAAAGAAAGGTAGATTTTTCCCTCTGGAGTAGTAAAGTCCATCTTACAGAAGATCACAGTGAAATAACTCTACCTTTTCTTGGTGTCATGTTTAAAATTAATATAAAATAAGTATTAAAGATACAGCCAGACACTTAGATTAAATCAAAAAGGGAAGATACAGTACACTCGTACTAGCATCAAATGAAATATGATTTGAATCAACTACATAAGCAACTGTCACATGCACACGTTTGTATATAAACATTCAATTGAGAGAGCGAAACAGAACTATAGTCCGCTTCCGAGTCCGTACAGCTGAGCTGTATTGTTGTCCTTTTCTTGATAACAAAATGGCGATTACGTAAATAACATTGACAACAAACCGTGATTTTTGATAAAAAACGAGAGATCATTATAACTTCCTAAAGATGATATTGTTGTTTCAGTACCAGCGATGGTTTTGGAAAATCCTACTACTGGAGTGATGTCCCGAGTAGTTGTCGATACGGATGCCCTTGTATCAACAGGAGATTCCATGAACAAGCGAGAACTCAACATAGAGTAAATCAACATTTTTTTATGTTATTTTTAGACAGAAACAAATTAATTTATGTTTATTTATATAAACATAGTTATATAATATACAATCAGTGATAAGTTAATCAGTTTCCACTAATTAATAAAACATAAACATTGGTGTTGATTCTGACATAGAAGTGGATGCAACAACTTCATTCCCATTTGCCAGCGGGGCCAATGGGAATAATTCAAACTGAAGTAGGGGCAATGACTTGATTCCCATTTGCCAGCGGAAGCAATGAGATTAATAAAAACTGAAGTAGTGGCAATGACTTCATTACCATTAGCCAGCGGAGGGAATGGGAATAATATAAACTGAAGTAGGGGCAATGACTTCATTCCCATTTGCCAGCAGAAGCAATGAGATTAATAAAAACTGAAGTAGGGGCAATGACTTCATTACCATTAGCCAGCGGAGGGAATGGGAATAATATAAACTGAAGTAGGGGCAATGACTTCATTCCCATTTGCCAGCAGAAGCAATGAGATTAATAAAAACTGAAGTAGGGGCAATGACTTCATTACCATTAGCCAGCGGAGGGAATGGGAATAATATAAACTGAAGTAGGGGCAATGACTTCATTCCCATTTGCCAGCGGAAGCAATGAGATTAATAAAAACTGAAGTAGGGGCAATGACTTCATTACCATTAGCCAACGGAGGGAATGGGAATAATATAAACTGAAGTAGGGGCAATGACTTCATTCCCATTTGCCAACGGAAGCAATGAGATTAATAAAAACTGAAGTAGGGGCAATGACTTCATTACCATTTGCCAACGGAAGCAATGAGATTAATAAAAACTGAAGTAGGGGCAATGACTTCATTACCATTAGCCAGCGGAGGGAATGGGAATAATATAAACTGAAGTAGGGGCACTGACTTCATTCCCATTTGCCTCCGTTGGCAATCCCCGCAGGGGCAACTGGGGAATAAAGTAAATTACCTTTTTTTTTTTGTATTTAAAGCAGTATGATGGACAACCCCAAGATTGAAGTGATGAGCCATGTGAAGTCATTAAAAGCGCCTACAGAATATGTGGAATGCTTGCCTGGCACCGAAGTATTGAGGTAAAAGTACATTTTATTTATATTTGTATTTTATAAGCATTTAACTGCTAGAGTCTGTGCGGAAAGAGAATGGGATCTAGATTAGAGGGCGCTGTAGTGCTTTTCTACCGTATTTGTAAGGTTTTACCCCTTTTAGACATGATTAAATACAAAATACCGCAAGAACTCACAACAACAAACAAATCCGTGTCAATACAAAACTTTGACGTTTTATAGATTGCTGGGTTTGATTGCCAAATAAAAATCTTAATGTTAGTTCCGTTTTTCGCCACGCCCATTCTCTTTCCGCACAGACTCTAAATGTTTGAATCTAAAGAAAAATTTTCGCGATTAAAGCAGCAGACGGGACTCGAACCCGCACCTTCCGCTATGCGGGCGGATGCCCTGACCATTATACGGCCTTGATGGCCGTATCTAATTTTCTCTAGTATTTCTTAGGCCACAAGGCAGCGACATCTCTTCGCATTGTAGATAACCCACTATGTCATATTCATTTGACACTGGGTAGCATAATGGTCAGTGCATCCGCGCAGATAGCAGAGGGTATAGGTTCGAGTCCCGTCTGCTGCCTTTTCCACGTAGATTTTTTCTAGTAATATTTTGTTTAGATTTAAACTTCGACCACTTACATGCTTAAAGAAATAAATTTTTAAACATTATTGTAATGTTACGTTTTGCCAGTCTACAGATACCCTCACTTTTCCTACCTTTTATCACAAATACAATGAATATTTGCATATTTTTTTATTTACATTGGGAAACATATGTGTGTATAGCGTAGTTTCATTGGTACACATTCAAACTTCCGTTAAAGTTTTGAACTATTCCTATACCAAATATAATCTAAATCGATTCAGCACTTTAAGCTTGATGAGATAATAGACAGACATACTTTCTTGGCACTTATAATATTGGTATGGATTTTGTTTCAGAGATCGACATTACTGCTTCATTATGGCGTAAGTATTTCATCATCATCATCAGCCTATTAATGTCCCCACTGCTGGGGCACAGGCCTTCCCTATGGATGGAATAGGGAGATTGGGCCATGACCCACCACGCGGGTCCAGTCCGGATTGGTGGGTGCTAACCAGTGGCGGACTAACAGGGGGGCGGAAGGGGCGGCCCGCCCCGGGCCTCTGATCTTGGGGGCCCCCAAATGCCTTCGCGTTCCCCTGATCGCATCCTAAACTAGACTTTAAAATGTGCTTAGTACCACAGAACACAGAAAGAGGTTAGAAGGGTGATGAGCGATCGCCAGTATGAAAACCGATGTCGCCGGCTCGCCCTCACTATACTTCCAGCTAACAGATAATAAGCCAATCAAACGACGCGACATCAAGCAACCGAACGAATCAGCGCTCACAACACGCGACAGCCGTGCCTGTGAGCGTTCATTCGTTCACACCGATTTTTCGCTAGAGGTGAGCACTGAGTCGATGAAATATTATCGATATTAAATATGCCAAGTGTGAGTTGGACTTGACTTGATAGTATGGTAATTTTCGTATCCTGTCAAAGTGAGTAAAAATACAGAAAAAAACAGATAGTTATTTATTGGCCTTGAAACAGTATATATTTATTTAAAAGTGACGCTTTGTTTCTTTTTGAAAGTAATTTTTCAATAAGAAATGTAGACGGATATCTATATATTCTTCAATTACCACTTTCATTAAATCTGTTACGTGGTTAGAATATGGGAATTCACCGACTTGATGAAATGATATGTCATCAAATAATGAAGTGCCAATAAACTTTTTTAATATTTTTGGGACAAAAATTTGTTTTTGGACATTTTTCAAATTATCTGTATGTTGTCGTATTACAGTTTCTGCACTTTCGCATATTTTTATTACATCACCAGACGGATATATCAGGCCACCTTTATCTTTTACCAAAATAAACTTAGGTAAATTATTACTTGTATGTGATATTAGGGCTCCAGTGCAAATATCACATTTGATTTTTTTTTAGGACATGAACAACATTGCCTGCTATGTATCCAATGACTTGTTTGCTGAAATCAGTAAAATTTAGTTCGGTAATAGAGGGTCACCCTTAAAAGATAGACATTAGCTGTAGCGGGCTTTTTTATAAAACTTATAAAGAACAATTCCGGTATATATGATTTTTGTGTAACTTTTACTGTTTACGCAGCGTACACAACGGATTCTCTCAAATGGGTCTTTTCCATATTTTTTTATTGGTGCTCCGCTCCTCTCAGTCGTATTATTATGTTTTATTAATCTATAGCCTTCCTCAATAAATGCACTACCCAACACAAAAAGATTTTTTAAATCGCATCAGTAGTTCCTGATAAAAGCGCTTTCAACCAATTAAACAAACAAACTATTTAGCTTTATATTTATATTGTATATACATTTACAATCAGCTTTTATTTATTTATAAAAGTTACTTTAATTCCATTATTAGGTGCTAAAATTCCATCGATAAAATCTATCGACAATGTAAAGTGTACGACGCAAGACACCACTAATGTTGTGGTAGTTTGTACCTACTGTGTGCAATGACCTTGTACTGCATGCGGCCACGTGCAGCGCTTTGTGGCCCATGCGTCATTCTAGCTCGAACCTTACTACATTACGTGTTTTGAAGTCGTCGAAAGAATGACGAGCGTACTTTGTCAGCAATGAATATTTTTATGGATATATATATGTGATTTATCGTATAATTAGTATTTCACGAATTTTTACTAATATATCAGTCTAACTAAGAAGTTTTATACTTACCGATGAAAAGAAATCCCTGCTTTAGGTAGATTTGATGTTTGACTCCTTGCTTTGCAAGAAATTACAGCACACGAAGGCATATTTTAAGCGATAATCACAATACTCTCTCACTGAACGTGCGCGAGCAACTAAACGACGCGATCGCGCGTAACGGTTAGGTTATGAGCATTTGCTCATAACTGGGACGCGCCTGCCGCGCCCACAAGGCCATTCTAACCTCTTTCTCTGTTCTGTGCTTAGTACCTACATAATTTCATCAAGATCAAAACACTACAGCCATCTAGACTTTTTACACGGTACTAATATTCTTTTAACTTCGCTGAACGCGTCCAATACGGTGGGGGAATTCCCGTCTCTTAGTCCGAGAGCCGGCCGTATAAAAGTCCTATGGATCAGATACATGAATCATTTTTGGGGTATGAACAATAAAGCCATAGGTCTAGAGGTCGACACCCCTGAAGTTGCTTGATTTTGCCCGCATGCAAAATTATGACATCACTTCCGGTTTTTATTTTAGGTGTAATTATAATTTATGAAATACATCAAGAAAATTTATGTCGAACGAAAGTTTTTGATGAGTAGAATAGAAACGTCAAGGGTCGACAAGCTCTATTTATTCGCTACCTTGAGTCGACCACCATTGGAAATATTTCTTTTTTAATATATCTTAAGCCATCGAATACATGGATTTGCTTACGAATTTCTGAAACTAGAACCTCTCAAATGACTAAAAAAAATTGGTCGACACCTTTCATTTGCCCGGATCGGACTGTCGACTTAGTTTGAAGAATTAAAGAGCCTATGCTTATACATTTTATCTCTATGTATGTTTCATTATTTAATTATCTGCATATCTATTTCAAATACATTGATAATTTTTTTTTCCAATTAATTCTTTGACTCTAACATTACTAAAAAAAATTGGTCGACACCTACATATCATATCTACATATTTTTTCTAAATACATTAATAATCTTTTTTTTTTTCAATTAATTCTAACATAACTACAATTTTTTTGAAATACTTACTGTACATTTTTCTTTTTCTTGTTAAAATTTAAGTCCTTAAGAATGAATTTTGTATTTCTACCTTAAGTCCAGGTAGCCGTTAACGTTTCTTCTTTTGTACCTGTAACGGTACAAAAGAAGTAAGGTCTAGACCAATTTTTTTTAGTAATGTTAGAGTCAAAGAATTAATTGGAAAAAAAAATTATCAATGTATTTGAAATAGATATGCAGATAATTAAATAATGAAACATACATAGAGATAAAATGTATAAGCATAGGCTCTTTAATTCTTCAAACTAAGTCGACAGTCAGATCCGGGCAAATGAAAGGTGTCGACCAATTTTTTTTAGTCATTTGAGAGGTTCTAGTTTCAGAAAATCGTAAGCAAATCCATGTATTCGATGGCTTAAGATAAATTAAAAAAGAAATATTTCCAATGGTGGTCAACTCAAGGTAGCGAATAAATAGAGCTTGTCGACCCTTGACGTTTCTATTCTACTCATCAAAAACTTTCGTTCGACATAAATTTTCTTGATGTATTTCATAAATTATAATTACACCTAAAATAAAAACCGGAAGTGACGTCATAATTTTGCATGCGGGCAAAATCAAGCAACTTCAGGGGTGTCGACCTCTAGATCTATGGCTTTATTGTTCATACCCCAAAAATGATTCATGTATCTGATCCATAGGACTTTTATACGGCCGGCTCTCCGACTATCTGTAGCGGGTACTTCCTCAGGTACCCCTGAATGAATGAAGTACAAATAATTCACTCTTGTACGCCTACATTTGTAAATATAGTGAATGTTTCACTATATTTACGTCGAAAAATAAACATTAGCCTCATTTAAAATCCGTTCAAAGTAATCTCATTAAAAAGTGCTTTTGATTTTTGTTGCGGTATAAAAGTAAATGACTTTAGAGTTGAGTTAGTGCATTTTAAGTATTTGGAAAAAGTAAGTAATTCTTCGTTTAATTTAGCCTAGTAGTTAAAAAACTAATCCGTTGTTTCTAGTCAATATGCACCTACGTTTCTAGTCAATTAAAAAGTTACCATATTGTAGGTATGTAAGTATGTTTATTTAGCCGAAATAATTTAATTGGAATTTAAATTTCATTCGCCGGATTTTAACGAAACAATCTAAGAAACTACATTTTTTTTTAAAGCTGGGGGGCCTCATTTTGCCGCCCCGGGCCTCTGACGAGCTTAGTCCGCCACTGGTGCTAACTAACTTGGACGTTGCAAATGCAGTCGGGACCAACGGCCTAATGTGCCTTCCGAAGCACAGCGGAGTTCGAGATACTAAATTTTTGGTCACCCATCCAATGACCGACCACTGCGAAAGTTGCTTAACTTCAACGATCGCAACCGAACGCCCTAGCCACCTGCGCCATCGAGCTCCTCAGTATTTGTCGTAAGTATTTGTTTCATGTTAATTTTAAGGTATTAATGACACGCCTTCGCTTCGCTTCGGTGTAAACTAAAGTTTATATTCTCAGGCATGGCATTACCCTTAACCTTTCTCTTGAATCAGTCGTATTTATTGCTGAAACACTGCATTAAAATCCTTTGCGTAGTTCAAAAGATCGAGAGGTCCCGGGTTCGAATCCCGGTGGGGGCGGGATATTTGTGTGATGAATACGAGCATATGTACTCCAGTCATGGATGTTTAATATGTATTTCTATATATATGTACAGTATATGTATTCTATCCGTTACCCTAGTGTCCCATAACACAAGCCTTACAGTGCTTACTATGGGGCTAGACTAATTGGTGTGAATGTTGGAAATATTTATTTATTTAAGTAAATATTTCAGCATAAATATGCTGATGAGTTCCTTGCGCCCATTCTTGTCATCAGCTAAGAGAAGTCCTGAATGGGTGGTATGGAAGAATATTGGACGTTTAAAAAGTGACGGACGTTCCATAAGTCGATTTGAAAAAAGTATAATTTGAGGAGCTGGCGAACAAAACGGTATACATCAAACTAAATTTTACAGGAGCTGTATAAAACTGAATGACATACCTACAGTGAGCTTTTAGCATGGTTTTAAATTTAGAAAGGACAATGGGCAAATCACACCCAGCTCCGCCAACAATGTAATTAGTATGAATCGATAGATCAATGAAAAACTAGCCTTTTTCATTATGACACTGTAAAAAAATATCCTGGTAGTCAAAAGATATGACACATGGGCATATTTAAGTAGCTTAATAAATTCATTTTATAGTACCTTCATTTTATATTATTAGTAACCATAATAATATGCCATATCGTACTATACGACAAAGCCTGCCGACCATCCTGCGCTTGCACTTACTGAGACACCTCAAAACTGCAAATACTCGACTCGTCTTACTTCGTTGTGATTGTGCGCTCCCTGTCGCTTGATTATTATTTATCTAACACGCTTTGGACATTGGAACACGATTATTGGTTTTGTCAATTAGTATGGATGAACTGGAATCATGTTTTCTCCGAAGCGTGGACAAGTTTGTGTGATTTGTGGTCGCTCCGTTTTATATAGAAGACAATTTACTATAACGAACAGAAAGTTTGAAAAAACCCCAACTCATGCGGCGATTTTTGGATTTACTCTAGCGCGGCAGAATAACATAAGGGGGCACCCTTGCACCTTGTGAAGTACTCCCATAATACCTGAACCCCCTTTAATTCCCTTGTTTCATTAATGTTCGTTCGTTAGAGTACTTGTACCTACTTAACTTAAAATAACTAAAGACCCCCGCGATAGAATTTGATGCGCTTTGGCACAGATGATCATGACTATAATACCTTTCAAACAAATGTAGTTAAAGCCGTGGCGGACATGGGTGTAGCGTCCATACATTTTTGTCCAATGTCCTTTAGTAATTTTAACACTATTTAAGGCGGTTTTGATTGAAAATTATTTGAGATTCAAATTGAACGGGCCCGTAACCTCCGGACTTTAAAAAAAGTAGTTTGACAAGATGCGTAATTATACCGTTTCGTTCGCCAGCACCTCATTTCATTCATTCAATATAAGAAAAACCGCTTCACGAAAAATGGACTTGCACACATTTCATGTGAGTAATTATTATTTTTAGACCAATGGATGTGTCCAAGGCGGAAGATACAGAAAACAAATCACACTTAAGCACCGACAAAATACTCGGATACACGGGGATGGAACTGACTCCGATGAGGTAATATTGTTGATGTGTAACATCTCTCTTCTCGCTTTCCCGCAAAAGGGTATTTGATAGTGTTAAAAATAAAGTGTCAATTGTTAGCATCTATATGTGTTTAGAATGAATATTGGCAGGGGTTTTTACTATTTTTACAAAAAAAATATTCATAATTTTACTAAAAACTAACGAAAAAAGAAAATAGTTTTCTTATCTATTGTCACGTGACCCAAAACGCTTGGGATTGGCGGAGCCTAAAATGACGTCACACGCAAGTAAACTTCCGGTTAAAGTGACATTACATTGTATCGTATGACGTTTTAATAACAGTCGTGTGACGTCACACACTAGTAAGACGCCATATTGTTCAGAGAAACGTTTTAGCGGCAACTTGAAAATGGAGTTTTTGATTTGGTTATTTTTACTGAAATACACAACAGAAGGATGAATATCCACTCCGGACGGACTCCAGAAAAATTAGTCAATAACGTGAGATCGTTTTCTAAAACTTGTCAAATACCCTATTTGTGGGAGTGATTTCGTGAAATGGGACGGAAGTGTGTAACAGGAAGTCGCGAAAGCGCGCGCTATTTGATTTAATTTTAGAACGCACTGTTCAAATTGGCTTATTCCTTTTGTAGTAGGTTTTATTTCTTTTTTTACTAATATAAGGTGAGGTTTCAAATGTTACACATCATACGCGACTACTGTAAGGCTCGCTAGTTTTTTTTATATCTTCTTTGTCTATAAAATCTAATTAAAATTAGTGTGCACAGACAACACACAGAGCAAGCATCACTCATATATATGTTTATACTAGCTGTACCCCGCCCCGTTTAAAAGGTGACATCACTGACATATTGACAGTCGTTAGGGCCCTAGTAACGACCCTTACAGTTTGGTCCTTCGAGCCGGACAAAGAGAGAAAGACAGAGAAAGGGGAAAGAAAGAATAGTGTAAGGTTGAAAGAGAAGATTTATATTCTTTTGAAGTCAAACTTCTTTTCGGACGGGGTGTAAATGGAAAATCCTATGGAAAAGATGAAACGCAAATGCGTCACGAGCTTCACACGACTATATACAGTGAAACCTGGTTAAGTGGGACCTGGATAAGTGAGAAACCTCTATTATTGAGAGTTGCAGTGAGGTCCCGGATCTTTTTCATTAAATTACCTCTGTTAATGGGACTTTTTGAACCTGGTTAAATGAGATTTGAATTCTAAGACTCTTTCGATGTTTACCTCTATAATTGAGAATCTGTAGCTCAATTACCTGTATAAGTGAGACTAATTAATCAGGTTGTAACACGTTTTGACATGTTTGTTTACATACATTTCGCGTCGTCTTTCGCGAATGCTTTGTTTGTCAGTACTCTAAAAATGGAATAACGGCACATTTCGCCCTCTGTAAGCGGGGGCCTCTGTAAATGAGACAACTATAATTTTAAACCTGTTTAATTGGAAAACTGGATGATTGGATACCCTCAATAATTGGTACATATATCTTGGTCCCTTGAGATCCCAATTAACCAGGTTTCACTGTATTTAAATGTGTGTGTGTGTATACATGTGTGTGGGATGCGCAGCTCTTCCCGACGAACATGAAAGTTGAAGGGCAACTCGGCGAAGGCTGTAACGCTACGAGCGTCACACGCGACAATATCACACTAATATTATAAAGGCGAAAGTTTGTGAGTGTGTATGTTTGTTACTTCTTCACGTCTAAACCGCTGGAGCGATTTCAATAAAATTTGGTATGGAGTTAGCTGACACCCTGGATTAACACATAGGCTACGATGTACTGCGGGAAAATATCCCTAATAAACCGTAGGTAACACCGCGGGGCACAGCTATATACACATATATACATACAATATATATATATATATGTATATTTTGTGTTGGTATATATTTTCAGAACGATAGAGGCACCTAAACTTGAGGCGACGGATACCAAACCAAATATAACCCCCAAGAAATTACTAGGGTACACCATGGATTATATGACAGAAGAGGAATTGAATGCGATGAGGTAAGATTTTATAAGTTCATTTTTAATCATAATCAAAATAACTGATTCAGTTTAGGCTGTTATAAGTACTCATGAATGTCTAGAAGCTACGCCATCGGTTCGTAAATCTACGGCGGGAGACCTTGTACTGAGAAGAACCGGCAAGAAACTCAGCAAGAGCTGTTTTTTTCTCCCTGTTTTATTTTTTTTATATTCACACTCAGTTAAGTTATAAAATTAAGGATAAATAGATACACATACATCCTCCTTATTCGTAAATTTTTGCATAAGTATAATAAATAAATATGTCCGACACTCACACCAATTAGCCTAGCCCCAAAGTAGTACAGTCAATCTGTCGAAAAAAAAATCGTTTCAGTGAAAAAAAAACCTAAAGGCTAAGTCTTGGTTTTTCTGTTGCCAAATGACGTCAGTAAGCCACCTTGGCGATGGGCATGTTGAAATCGTAGGCGTTTTTTGAAAAACTCAAAAAATGTTTTGAAACGCATTTTTCTGGTTTGGTATATAATTGTAGAGGGCGTTGAGTACTACAATTTATGTCATTGTTGCAATCTCGTACAACAAAAAATGCGCATTATAGGTGGCGCCAAAGTCTCAAAAAAAGTGTTTTTTCACTTTTACACCCTGAAAATATTATTTTAATGGAAAACTTTAAATGGAAAAGTTGTTTCGTACATAATTACCAACAAGTTTTGTATAAACAATTTTTTTAAATTACTTACAGTTTTCAAGTGAAAAAACACTTTTTTTGAGACTTTAGCGCCACCTACAATGCGCATTTTTTGTTGTACGATATTGCAACAATGACATAAATTGTAGTACTCAACGCCCTCTACAATTATGGTCGAAAAAAAAGTTTCTACAATACATACAAAACAAGAAAAATGCTTTTTAATAAATTTTTGAGGGTTTTTTTGAGTTTTTCAAAAAACGCCTACGATTTGAACATGCCCATCACCAAGGTGGCTTACTGACGTCATTTGGCAACAGAAAAAACAAGACTTACCCTTTAGGTTTTTTTTCACCACCCAACCTACAAATTGACTGTACTAAAGTAAGCACTGTAAGGAAATATAACTAGAAAAAATTCCACGCGGACCAGGCAGCAGACGGGACTCGAACCCGCACCCTTCGCAATACGGGCAAATGCACTGACCAATTATGCTACCGCGGCCCTCACGGACCGCGTCGAAATTCCTTCTAGCTATTCTTAAGCTGCAAGGCAGCGCCATCTCTTCGCATTATAGGTAAACCCACAATGTCAAATGAATACTTTTACAAGTATTAAACATTTGAAAGAAGAAATAGCAATTATAGTTATAATTTTTATTATTTTTAAAGCATGTAACTGCTTGATGTTTAAATCTAAAGAAAATATAACTAGAAAAAATTCCACGCGGACCAGGCAGCAGACGGGACTCGAACCCGCACCCTTCGCAATCCGGGCAAATGCACTGACCAATTATGCTACCGCGGCCCTCACGGACCGCGTCGAAAATTCCTTCTAGCTATTCTTAAGCTGCAAGGCAAAAATAATAAAAATTATAACTATAATTGCTATTTCTTCTTTCAAATGTTTAATACTTGTAAAAGTATTCATTTGACATTGTGGGTTTACCTATAATCCGAAGAGATGGCGCTGCCCTGCAGCTTAAGAATAGCTAGAAGGAATTTCGACGCGGTCCGTGAGGGCCGCGGTAGCATAATTGGTCAGTGCATTTGCCCGGATTGCGAAGGGTGCGGGTTCGAGTCCCGTCTGCTGCCTGGTCCGCGTGAAATTTTTTCTAGTTATATTTTCTTTAGATTTAAACATCAAGCAGTTACATGCTTTAAAAATAATAAAAATTATAAGCACTGTAAGGCTTGTGTTATGGGATACTAGGTAACGGATTGAATACAAATACTGTACATACATAAGTATATTTATATAGAAATACATATAAAACATCTATGACTGGAGTACAAATGCTCATATGCATCACACAAACATCTGCCTCCACCGGGATTTGAACCCGGGACCTCTGGAGTCGGCGACACCATGAAACCCGGCGTACAAACTACTCGGCCACGGAGGTCGTCACTATTTATTATATTTGTTATTCGTTTATATATTACAGCTTTATATATTCATATTTATTTTTTACAGATCAGAATTAAAAAATAAAATACAATATGCTAGCTCAGCGTACAAATGTGAATTGTGTATAATTGGTTTCTACACGCAGCAGCAAGTTGAAGACCACTTCCTGTCCGACCATAGAGCCGTGAGTCATCATCATCATCAGCCTATTAATGTCCCCACTGCTGGGGCACAAGCCTTCCCTATTGATGGAATAGGGAGATTGAGCCATGACCCACCACGCGGGCCCAGTGCGGATTGGCGGGTGCTAACGACTGCAGATGCAGCCGGGACCAACGGCTTAATGTACCTTCCGAAGCACGGAGGAACACGAGATAGAAGATTTTTGGTCACCCATCCAATGACTGACCACTACGAAGGTAACTTAACTTTAACGATCGCAGCTGAACGCGCTAACCACGCGCGCCATCCATTTCCATTTCCCATTGAGCTGATATGGGCATAACTGAAAGGATATGTTTATAAAAATAATAAAACCTTTAAGATGACTGAAATAAAAAAATCTATTAGCCTTTGCTTTCAATCAATAACACCTGAATCGTGGACACGGTGCATTGACCATGTCATAAAAGAAGAGCAGAAAATGCTAAAATTTGCTGATATTGTTGATGATGTTGTGGATTTTACTATTAAAGTTGGTGGCAGTTCATCCAGTGACAGACCCGTCTTTCCCAGTAGGCACTTTGGGCAAGTGCCCAGGGCCCCGCGATCGATAGGGGCCCCCCTCAGATCAAATACAAAGTCCCTAGTTCCTGTTAAATCACCAAACGGAAGTCATAGGGGCCCCATTATCTTAATATGCCCAGGGCCTCCAATAGGTCAAAGACGGCACTGTCCAGTGAGTCGTCGGACTGTGAATAAATATTACTTGTACAGTCTTATACTGGTTTCATTTGAAATACACATTCTTTAATTATATTTATTATCAAGACAAAATTCATATTAGGTAACATAAATTATACGTAATCTTTGACTAGTGGGTACTTTCTGACAATACAAAAGTTTAAGAACCTCATATTCTTTGTTTATATTTTGTCCCACGCCAAAGTGAATAGATTATAGTATAAGTGATGCAATGGGTGGACTTATCGCTAAAAGCGATCTCTTCCCGGCAAATTTTACCAGGGTTTACTGGCTGAACTTAGAATAGGGGTGATGACGGGGTACAGTAAGCGAAATTCTATTTAGTCCGTCAGTTAGATGATCAAAAAATAATTGACACGTATTTTTTCTTTGGGCAATCAACCTAAACATGACAAAGTTATAGCACGTCAAAGTTTGGGAGTAGGGCCTCGTGACGTCACTTTTAAGTGTAAGTTGTACAAAAACGTGACGTCGTGCGACTTTTCAAATCAATATATCTCTGCAATGTTTATATTATGTGAAAAAAGAAAAAATACGTGTCCAATACTTTTTGATAATCTACCTGATAAACGAAGAAGAAAAAAAATAGTCATCATCCCTATTGATAGATTAGTTAGTACATCATCAAGTATAATAATAAACGATTGGATATTTTCGTTACATTATAGAAGCCTGGTAAATCCTCTTGCTCAATATGCTGCGTGTACATAGACGACTCTAAACTGATCAGTCACCAGGACTCGCACTACTTCCGGTACACTTGCAAGATGTGCGGCCATAGAGAATACAGCGAGAGAATCATGTCTATGCATGTGAAAAGTCATACGGAGGCACAGGTACATGGTGCGGTTATAAGGATAGGAAGCGGTGCTGGAAAGGTGAGTTTTAGTTATAACTAGCAACATAACTCATATTCATTAATATAGAAATAGCTACATGTCACTAAAAATACAAGTAATCGTTTATTTCATTTAAAATTCATTTAAAACAGTAGTTATTTAATTTAATATAATAATTTAGGTTATAGACTCGACGCCATTTAATACCCTAGATACAACATCACTAACAAAATTGTGGCCGAAACATGACCAAAAGGTACATTGGACGATCCACGGAGCTCCGTAAGATGATCACGTAGTCAAAAACAATATAAGACATTATTTAAACATTAAAAATCACCATAAATATCTTAATTTCATCATCATCATCAGCCTATTAATGTGCCCACTGCTGGGACACAGGCCTTCCCTATGGTTGGAATAGGGAGATTGGGCCATGACCCACCACGCGGACCCAGTCCGGACTGGCGGGTGCTAAAGACTGCAGATGCAGCCGGAACCAACGGCTTAACGTGCCTTCCGAAGCACGGAGGAACTCGAGATAGAAGATTTTTGGCCACCCATCCAACGACCGACCACTGCGAAAGTTGCTTAACTTCAACGATCGCAGCCGAACGCGCTAACCATTTGCGCCATCGAGCTTCTCACTCGCTATCTTAATTTAAACGCAGGCATCAAAAAGTTATTCCTGTTCGAAATGCAACCTAGCACAATTTTAAAACTTGCTGCTATAGGCGGAAGAATATAGATTTTATTCCTATGACGCTATATCGTAATTCCGAATGCGCTGTTAGCAATATAGCAGTTAAGGAGCGCGAGGAAAAGAGACCGCTACATAACGGACCATGCATTTGAATAGCACAAATATTTTCTATTAAATCAGTTTATAGTAAGTATTACAGCAAATTGGCTTCAAGTGCGTTAAATTAACAAACATTGATTAGATACCTGTCGAAAAAACGACACTTTACGTGTTATAAGTATTTTTTTCGCATTTTTTTTACGGAGCTCTACGGCATGTTGACTTTTCAACGGTCCGCGCGTGACTGTGAACCAAGAAGTGCTTGAGTGGAGCTCAAGCACTTCTTGATTGGGACACATTTTGAGCGCACCTGGTGTATCTAGAGTATTTAAATATCGTTGTAAAGATTACTAGAATAGAATATATTTTGTTTGCTAGAATGTAGTAAGTATGACATGTTACTAAATTGTATCAAAAAAATAACATTAAAGAAAACTTAGTTTTTTATATATTTTTCTATCCATTTAATTGCTATATGAAAATTTTACTGAAAATTAAACTCCACGCGGTCCAGGCAGCAAGCGGGACTCGAACCAACACCCTCCGCTATCCGGACTTATGCACTGACCAATTATTGACGAAATCGTTTAGCAATGCACCAGCCCTGCTGAAAAATGAATATATATATTTGACCCTAACTACCGTAAACTACCACCGGTTCCAAAATTCGGAGACCTTACTGAGAAGAACCGGCGAAACAATGTCCAGAGAGGCTTTCATCTCTTTCACGTGTTGATTTAACATAAGAAAGATGCAATAAACATTATTTTATTTCAGAGCAAAAAGAAAGCCAAGGAGACCGGCACTAAACCACCACCGAAACCAGGCGATCTCAGGAAGTTGCTATCGAAGACTACCATTGAGGGATACCAGTGCTTGGAGTGCGATATGTTCTTCAAGTAAGTGTTGCCAGGAAGAAAAAACATGCAAAAGGTTAAAATGAAAATGCTTACTAATGTTTTAATGGTGTCGATTCTGGTATGATTCTCTAAACTTAAAAACCTACTTATAGTCTACCTACACTACAACTCTACACCGAAGCGAAGCGATGGTGGACCACTAGTATTTAATAAATACTTGATTTATTATAGAAATTCGCGAACAAGGAAAACTCATGTAGCAAGATGCCACAGAGAAGGTTTCCAGTGTGACCATTGTAAAAAGAGATTCGTCAATAAAACTACCCTGGCAACACATCTTAGGTGAGTTACAGTCTGTCAAATAAAATCATGTAAAAAAAAGGAAGTCGCCACCGTCGCTTACATGGTATCACCGTTATCATCATCATCATCAGCCTTTTCATGTCCTCACTGCTGGGGCACAGGCCTCCCTATAGATGGAATAGGGAGATTGATGACCCACCACGCGGGCCCAGTGCGGATTGGTGGATGTTAACGACTGCAGATGCAGCCGGGACCAACGGCTTAACGTGCCTTCCGAAGCACGGAGGAGCTCAAGACAGAAGATTTTTGGCCACCCATCCAATGACCGACCACTGCGAAAGTTGCTTAACTTCAACGATCGCAGCCGAACGCGCTAACTACCCGCGCCATCGAGCTCCTCACCGTTATACATCGACTAAAATGCTTTGATATTTGTTAAAAAGTAATACTGTCTAATTATATGATTTCTAAAGTTTTTATTGATAACCGAGTTTCTATCTTTTCGCCATCTTAAATTTTTTTAAAGGTTGAAAGATACTTTGAATGAATTAAAAAAAAAATGTTTGCACGCACCACACCTCAAGTGAAACTTCTTTTCTTAAATAACCTAACGTTAGGCGATGCATAACTCATAAGGCGACTTTTACTGGTCGACTGGTAGAGAATGCCTTATGGCATTATGTCCGCCAATTGCTGTTTGTTTTGCAATAAAGTATAAATAAATAAATAAATAAATAAGGCATAGGGGAATGGAGCAGCGCACGCATCACTCATATATATATACTAGAGATCTCCCGCGACTTCGTCAGCGTTAACTTAGTTTTTTGAAAATCCCTCTGGAACCTAACATTTTTTTCGGGATAAAAGTAGCCTATGTGTTAATCTAGGGTGTCAGCTAACTCCATACCAAATTTTATTAAAATCGCTCCAGCCTTTTAGACGTGAAGAAGTAACAAACATACACACACACACTCACAAACTTTCGCCTTTATAATATTAATGTGATATATATATATATATATATATATATATATACTAGCTGACCCAGCGAACTTCGTACCGCCATAAAAATAGGGGCAGGTGGTAGAAGAGAAAATTTAGGGGTGTGTAACGTAGTGTTCTATCAATTTCCTGGGATAACATTCCTCCTAACCCATATGAGAACACTACGTTACAATACCCAATAGATTGAATTTTGGCTCGAAAGCGCATTGTAGGTTTCAAAACACTACGTTACAGGTGGACAACCATTATCACTTAGGGATATGAAAAATAGTTAGTAGCCGATTCTCAGACCCACGGAATATGCATATAAAATTTCATAAAAATCGGTCAGGCCGTTTCGGAGGAGTATGGTAACTAACATTGTGACACGAGAATTTTATATGTAAGATTTATTTATATGTATATATTGTTGAGTGTGACGCTCGTAGCATTTCCCTAAGATTTTTCCATTTTTGTTTTAATGCTTAATAGGCAAGGCGTCTGACCACAATCTCGCCTGATGGAAAGCGATGATGAGGCCTATGATGGTACACGCCTGCCTAGAAGATGCCTGTTCACTCTGGCCTTGAAGATGTCCAGATTATATTGGTCCGGGAAAACAGACCTCGGCAAGGAGTTCCACTCCCTAGCCGTTCGCACAATGAAAGCGGATTTACACTCTAAAAGAAGTTTCACTTCAAAAAAACTCGCGTACTTTTTGCCACTCTCAAGATATAGTCACTATTTATCTTCTTGCCCTTAATTTTGCCCTTGTTCTTCTCATTGTTTCTCTTATTTATTTATTCTTTATTACTACAAAAACAGTAAATGGCGGACTTAATGCCATAGGCATTCTCTACCAATCAATCAGTAAAGGTGTAGGAGATGAAATGTAATGGCGATAGAATATGAGCTAATTAGTGTGGATCATAAAAACTATCTACTATACCTAACTATTCTATAACAACAATAAATATAAAATATATATTATACCTACACATATACTGATACACATATATATTCATAAATATATATTTTTTATTTATAAATTAATACATAAATAAACATGCATATGCTAAATTACTAAAAATAAAACAAATATGATGATATATAGATGACTACAGATTAAGAGGAAAATTAGGTTGACAGATTTCGTCTTCTTCCAGTTCTTCTCGTTGTCCATATTATATGTATGTATGTATTTTTTTATCTATTGTCATCAATTTCATATTCGTTTGTGTATGTATTTATTCATTATTAAAGTACCTACTTGTATATATAAACCTATGTATGTGTAATCCCCATATTTATTGATATTAACATGTATTTGAGGAGCTCGACGGCGCAAGTGGTTAGCGCGTTCGGCTACGATCGTTGAAATTAAGCAACTTTCACAGTGGTCGGTCATTGGATGGGTGACCAAAAATTTACTATCTCGAGCTCCTCCGTGCTTCGGAAGGCACGTTAAGCCGTTGGTCCCGGCTGCATCTGCAGTCGTTAGCACCCACCAATCCGCACTGGGCCCGCGTGGTGGGTCATGGCCCAATCTCCCTATTCCATCCATAGGGAAGGCCCCAGCAGTGGGGACATTAATAGGCTGATAATGATAATGAACATGTATTTATGTACAGGTGTACACGCTGACTGCCTTTACCTATATTCTTTCCTACAACGGGCCTACTGGGAGAAATTTCAGATTAAAATAAGTTGTGCCCTTGTACATGTTATCTTTGATTAAGTTGCTTCTGTATTATTTTTTGTATGTACAGAATATATAAATAAATAAATATAGGTATCAACTTTCAAATGAAAGGACTCTGTGTTGAAATTTCTTCTTTAATGGGCTTTTCGATAAAAGCTTGTTTCAACATTTTCCCCCCATTTTTCAGGCTCCACGAAGGCCCCTTACCCCGTGAGGAATGCCCCATCTGCCACAAGATGGTGCGAAAAATCCAACTAAAATACCACATACAACGCCACCAGAACAAAAAACGCTATGAATGCGTCGATTGCAACAAAATCTTCTCACACTTGGCCACGTACCAGGGACATCTCAAGTACAGCAGGGCGCATGCATCCGATCAAATTTTTAAGTAAGTCACCAACGAAATTTGGCAATTATAACTGTTTTTTCAGCTAAAATACACTATCAGAATGAAGTTTATAATGAAAAACACATTTGAAAGCGTAATTTTTAACAAAAACATTTCAATTAATACTCGAACCAGCACCCTTCGCAATCCGGGCGAATGCACTGACCTACCTGTGAGTTACCTACAATGCGAGGAAATGGCGCTGCCTTGCAGCTTAAGAATGGCTAGAAGAATTTAGACGCGGCCGTCAGGGCCGCGGTAGCATAATCGGTCAGTGCATTCGCCCGGATTGCGAAGGGTGCGGGTTCGAGTCCCGTCTGTTGCCTGGTCCGCGTGGATTTTTTTCTAGTTATATTTTCTTTAGATTAAAACATCAAGCAGTTATATGCTTAAAAATAAAAATTATAAAAACATTTCACTTGAGTAGGTACCCTATTTGCTGTTTTGAATAAGTTAAACATTTCACAACACACAGCGAATGAAACTATTAATATGTGCTTTTAGAGTGATAAGAAATCCTTTCAGTGTGGAATGAGATAGTCAAAATCATTGATCATCACTGTATTATGATCGAAAAAGCTTTTTAACTCACTTAACACCACACGGCCCATAAGGGCCGCGCGGGAAAAAACATTGCACGGTCAAACACCGCACGGCCCATATGGGCCGCGCTCCCCACGGGACTATAAGCCGTTTTTTGTGATGGTTAGAGGCTACTTTTGTATGAAGAAGTTTTACCATAGATTAACTTGGCGAAATGACCTATCTTTAGAGCCGTAAAGTTTTCACCTACTCTGTGTAGTTTTTTTTTTTCGCGTCGTTGAAAAAGTGGAATTTTTTTGGTCGAATTGAGGTTATGTGTGTGTAATTTATCTTTTTTTTCATGGTAAGTGCTTAATTTTATAGGGAAAGTGTTATAAAGTGTGTTATTCTGCTTACAATATACCTTTATAGATAATTGGTTGTAAAAATACTTCGTAATAAAAATGATTTTCATGTTCAATACTGACAAAATTTCTTAGGTTGTTTCAAAGTTATTTGTGATGATTGAGTTTCGGTAATATAAATAAGTGTTTACAATAAGCAATTGAAACTCGTTTACAGTTAGTTTTTACATCGCTGATAACAAATTATTGTTAGAAACTCGTCATAAAGATAAGGGAATTTCTGTGTATAAAGATCAAAAATGGGGTATCGTCTGTCAATTCCTAGCAAGCCATTTTGACTCTTATATGTACGGCGTCACGGGCGTAACCTACTTGCAGTCGATTTGAACCTCTTTTCGTAGGCGTATTGATAGATACGTATCGATAGTCACGAGATAAAAATAATGAATTGTCGATAGATCGACTAAAATTGTGGTGGTGGCATTGTAGGGCGAGTTTATGTTTAGCTAATTTATTGTTACTGTTTTAGAATGGTAGTTTTACATATAACAAAATAAAATAAATTCATGCAGTAAATATGGTGATAATGGCTAAGTAAATATAGTGGTTTTCTTTTTTTTGGATTTTATAGTATGTCTTCGTGGCGCTAAGACAAGGACCCAACCGCCGATTTTTTATTCCTGCTCTATAAAGATAAAGAGGGTGAGGAGCAGCAAATGAGTGATGCAGCAGAAGATACTTTCAATTTAGCAATATATTCAAAGTTCGTTTGAGTATTGTATCAATAAAAAGAACTCAAGAATGAGAGAACAAACTTTATTATTTCTATTGATATCTACAGTTTCGGGTTTATTACCAATAAAAAAAACCTAAAGTACGTGAAGACAATTTTTTTCCACTGTGTATGGTAGTTTTATTTTTAGCTATATTTATCCATATCCTTGTTGATAATAGGAATAATTACACTGTAAATAAAAATCAATTAAAAACAGTACCAAATGTGTTTTTATTTATAAATAATAGAACAAATATCGATAAAACTATAAAAGTGAAGGCACGGCAAGATACATCCCTACTTTGTTTTTTGTTCGTTGGGTCGGGTCGGACTCTGGTTTCAAGTGCTGTTTTTGTTATCAACAATGGGGTCTTTCATTAGTTTGTTTACATAAGTGGGCAGTTTAGATATATGATTCTCGGCATCCGCCCGTTTTTTCGTTTATTTTACATCGTAAAGTGCGTAAAGTAGTGTAAACTTTGGGCATCTCAAAAAAATATAACGTATTGATAATTGCCATATTTTTTTTACCCGACTGAAAGAAAATTTATCAATTAGTAAATTCTCGTTCACGCAATGATAATTAATGATTTGGCTACAGCGTAATATATTTTTTTTTGTCGCGCGGAAGCCATTTTGATTGAAGCCGCCATTTCGTTTATAGATGACGTAATCAGCATATCTCAAATTTCACTTCGCGTTTTGACAGGTTAAATTATATGCTTTTTAAATCATCGAAATCGGTTCAATCGTAGCGATTTTATAACTAATTTTATGGTATCCAATATTCACCGGCGCCCGAAACGTGTGACGTCACAGGGCTCGATCGTGGTTCACTCCGGTCAATCTTTAGTAGCGTCTCTACGCCCCCTCGCGCCCGTACGCTAGAGCTCTGTGACATCACAGTGACCACGTGGCCTGCCGAATATCCGTTTAGAAAATTTGGTCATAACTTCGTCAATAATTGTCGTAGAACAAAAATTTAACCACTGTATTTTATACGTCTATAAATCTGCATTCTGAACTATAATAATAGGGTATTTGACAGTTTAAAAAATAAAGTGCCAATTGTTAGCATCTGTATTTAGAATGAATATTGGAAGGAGTTTTTCCTATTTTTACGGAAAAAATATTAATAATTTTACTAAAAACCCACGATAAAGAAAATAGTTTTCTTGTCTTTTATCACGTGACCCAAAACGCTTGGGATTGGTGGAGCCTAAAATGACGTCACACGCAAGTAAATTTCCGGTTAAAGTGACATTAGATTGTATGGTTTGACGTTTTAATGACAGTCGTGTGACGTCACACACCAATGAGACGCCATATTGTCCAGAAATACTATTTTTTGCGGCAACTTGGAAATAGAGTTTTTTTAGTTATTTTACCGAAATACACAACATAATGATGACTCTATAAACATTGACAAATAACATGAGATCGTTTTCTAAAACTTGTCAAATACCCTATTACGGGTGGAGTGAATAAGAAAATGTGTCAAAATTCAATTCAAATTAACAATACTCTTTAGATAAATTCAAATGTTGATTTAAAAGGATATAATAATATTTTTGAGTGTTTTAGAGCAAGAGAGTAACAGAATGTGTGAACGAGTAAGAGAATCTTTGAGCGAACAAGAGAAAGTGAAAAAATTCTATTTAAAAATAATAACAATTGTTTATTAAGATGCAGATATATAGTGACGGCGCAAGATTATTATAGTTATGTTTTTATTAATTTTTAAGCATTTAACTGCTAGATGTTTAAATCTAAAGAAAAGTTTTACTAGAAAAAAATCCACGCGGACCAGGCAGCGGACGGGACTCGACCCCGCACCCTTCGCAATCCGGGCGAATGCACTGACCAATTATGCTACCGCGGCCCTGATGGCCGCGTCGAAATTTAGCTACTAAAAAATTTACCCAGCCTTAAGCTGCAAGGCAGACACACACACATAAACACAGCCACAGTAGCGCGCTGTGCTATACATTGCGAACTGAAAAAAAAATGTATTTTTGAAGTTATACTTCTTTAGGCGCGTTATGAAAAAATGATGAGAGTGAAATTTTAAGATGCGCGCGCATCACTGTAACACAAAATATTAACAGCATGAAGTTGGTGTTGTTACTTTTGTGTTTACCGCACATTAAGAAAATCTACCAACAAAAAAGAAATAGAATCTCTATTTAGTGGGTGTTGACGACTGCATTGTGAAGGCCTATCAAAAGTATTTATTAATCTGGAACAACGGAACCAAAGCGCGATTCAGGAGACTACAGCGCCATCTCTTGACCATTGGTGTAGTAGAACCAAAAACCACATCTTTATTTTTCAATGTTACTTTTATGTTATTATTGTAATAAAGTAACAGTTATAGGTATTCATATTTATAATATTTATCCACATGTTTCTAGTTTGTATATTCGGAATACGTGTTTGAGTTTCATACAAGTGCAAATCACATATGTTCTAATAAATTATATTCAGTAGCGATTTTAATTGAATATTTTGATTATTTATTTAGTTTTTCAAATTAAAACTGAACTTTATTGACTGTGTCCTTTTCCAGACTTTTTATTAATTTATTGTAATTAATTATTTGCATGCAATTAAAAACTAATTTTAAACGATGCCAAAGAAGGATAACTTCTCACGCGCCTACATAAGTACACGCACCCATTTTTTTAACTTAAAAATATAAATGATTCCCCCTTATAATATTTTGTAATATTACTTGTTTGAGTGTACAGAATGCGTAGTTTTAGTCTCTGTCATAGGTTTTTTTACACCCTGTATATACGATCGGACTGACACTGGCATGATTCTATTAACTTAAAATTTCCTTTTTTTAATGCAGATTTCCTTGCCCGATGTGCAACAAAGGTTACCCCACAAAAGAATCTATGCAGGACCACTTCAACTACCAACATTTAGGGAAAACATCACACAAATGCCCCATCTGTGATAAGGTGAGAAAAAACAAATGTACCGTGAATATTAAAAAAGGATAATAATTAGGGTTATTTTTTGTTCCTTAAAAAAAACAAAATTCAATATCGTCTATTCAGTCTAGGCTGTTACAAGCACTTGTGAATGACGAAAAGCTACGCCATCGGTTCGCAAATCTACGGCGGGAGACCTTGTACTGAGAAGAACTGACAAGAAAATCAGCAAGGGCTGTTTTTTTTTCTCCCTGTATGGAAGAGACAACCGCATTTGCCGTTCTTCGTATCGCTTCGCATCGCATCCTGTGATACTACGAAACTAGCTAGGCTGACATTCACTTGGCATCGATGCGCGCTTTGTCAGATATTGATGCGCATCGATTTCACAAATATCTATAACTAGAGGTCGCCCGCGACTTCGTCTGCGTTAACTTAGTTTCTTGAAAATCCCTCTGGAACCTAACTTTATTTCATGATAAAAGTAGCCTATGTGTTAATCTAGGGTGTCAGCTAACTCCATACCAAATTTTATTAAAATCGCTCCAGCCGTTTAGACGTGAAGAAGTAACAAACATACACACTCACAAACTCACACACTTACAAACTTTCGCCTTTATAATATTAGTGTGATTAAGGCCTTTATCCTGACATATTCTGATACAGAGGAATTGTTTGGTACTTTTTTGGGTTTGGCCTGATCATCTAGTGTAAATTTGGGCAATACATACTCGCACACACATACACATACACACACACACTCATACACATACACACGCACATACACATTCACACAAATAAGACAAACACGCATTTAATTTCTATTTAAATGTTAAATTAGGATTAAGATTAAAATTGTTGTAGTAAAAATTGTTTTCTGGAAGTGGGCTTTAATAGCTGCGACAAAGTTTTTAAATTTTTGTTAAATATTATTTAAATATTTCAATTTCAAAAAAGAAACTATTTTATCTGTGCCTGGCGCCTGAAACTACATCCTCGTTGGTAAATAATCGGTCACTTTCTCCACTCAGTGAATAATGTACTATTTTCCTCCTTCTGTTTCTAATAGCCAATAGCCTCCCGTGCTAACGTGGAAAAGCACATAATGCGCGTACACGGACAGAAGAAGGAGAAACCACGAAAACACGTGTGCCAAATATGTGACAAGGGATTTACGGTGAGTCCATAAATTACAAAACTTATCACAACAGGGGGGCCATTCGCCTATCGGAAATACTTTGGAAAATGCTAACGCTTACGATTTCATTTTGTTATTTCTTACCGCCGAAGGTTTTCAAATAGCTCACGCTCATTTTCTTAAATATTGTAATTAGGGGGCGTCCATAAATTACGTGAGGTGTTTTTTTGGATTTTCTGTCCTTCCCTCCCCCCCGTGAGATGTCGTGAGATTTTATTCAAACCCCTCCCCCATCCCCCAATCTCACGTGAGATTTTTCAAAATGTGGGTTTCTTACGTAAACGCGTTGGATTGTTATTGTAAAAAGAAAAAGAATGCTTCGTGCTTTTATTTACGACTGGTAAAGACTAGTAATCAATATTGCTAAGAGTTATAAGTGTAATAAAAATTTAACAATAGAATACAGATACTACTGTGAAAAAAAAATTCGTGATATTTGCCGAAACCCCCCTCTCTCCAACGTAAGATTAGGGGCCATCCATAAATTACGTCACACGTTAAGGGGGAGGGAGGGGGTCGATGAAGTGTGACATTGTGTGACAAGGGGCTGGGAGGGGTCCTAAATTTCGTGACGTCACATTTAAAAATCTATTATAATCGAAATGTTGAAACTATAACTTTACGAAAACATAAACAACCCAAACGAGAACAAGGTGGTGCTATGCCTGTTATAAATAATTTAAAGAAGCGGGCTCAATGCCTATGGACTCAAGATTATTAAGTTTGTATCTTTAATGTAATCATAATGCTATTCATATTTGTTTTGTTAAATTGTTGGATTTGATGTTAATATTATTAAAAAACAAATTTGAATGAAAATAAAACTAATTTCAGATCCGCTGTTTACATTCAATAATTTCTAAATTTTGTAAAATATGTGACGTCACACTAGGGAGGGGGGGAGTCTCAATGTGACCAGCTGTGACAAGGGCGGGGGGAGGGGCAAAAAATCATGAAATTCGTGTGACGTAGTTTATGGATGACCCCTTAGATGAGATTTGACTCGACCCCCTCCTCCCCTTAAACATGTCACGTAATTTATGGACGCCCCCTTACCAATGCAAAAGCAAAATAACGAACGCGAGGCATTTGAAAACCTCAATCCGCTATCGAATACCGCTATCCGGGCGAATGCACTGACCATCTGCACTGGCATACAAAAATAATAAAAAAAAATGTGTGCGTGTACTAGTGTACACACGTAAGAAGTGAAACTTCTTTATGGCCTTATTTTTCGAAAAATGATCTACATGCAACTTTCCAGACATTAGTTAAATAAAGTTAAATTAGATAAAGTTTAAACAAAAGGATTTTATTATCATAGACATGAATACAAATTACTGCCTATGAAACTGTTATGATTACACGGCTCAGTAATCTAAGGCACATGTTCCACCTCCGACGATGAACGATAAGCGAGTAGAAACTAGAAACGAATTGGCAGTCCTGAGTTAAAATGCACGCGCACGGCTTTTGACAGCCAAGCCAGCTTAACCGAGCGAGTATAGCTGAGCGAGTATCGCTGAGCGAGTATCGCTATGCGAGTTTGGCTGAGCGAGTCTTATCTTTAATAACTATTGTCACTCAGCTACAAACGAGTAGAGAGAGTTCTCGCCGGCGACAGTGTGATCATTCAGCTATCAACTATTAATATAAAGAAGCGATGGCGCATAACGGAAAAATGTGACGCGTAACCGAAAAATGTGACGGTAAATTTTTTTCCGATAAAGAAGTTTCACTTCAAAAATCTAACAATATTAATTAGTTTGATTTATAATTTCGCTCGGATAACGGAAGGCGCAGCTTCGAATCCTGTCTGATAATTTATTTTCCTAGTACTATTTTATTTCATCATCATCAGCTTTTTAATGTCCCCACTGCTGGAGCACAGGCCGGGACCAACGGCTTAACGTGCCTTCCGAAGCACGGAGGAACTCGAGATAGAAAAATTTTGGTCACCCATCCAATGACCGACCACTGCGAAAGTTGCTTAACTTCAACGATCGCAGCTGATCGCGCTTACCACTTGCGCCATCGAGCTCCTCGATATTTTATTTAGATTATCATAATTTATTTGTAGGACAAGAAAGCTCTGAATCAACACGAGGTCATACATTCAGGGGAGAGACCCCTCACTTGTGATATCTGCCAACAGACTTTCAAGCAAAAAGCATCTCTATATACACACAGGTAAGTGTGGTTTCCCTTGCATTATTGAAAATTTACATTTCAGCCACAAGCTTAGCCCTCTATGTATAAATAAAATAATTATTGTTGTTCTTTGTTTTAGGAAACGAGTGCACAAAGTGTTTCCGGCGAAGCGATTGGTCCGATACGTGGAGCCTCCGACACAAAACTGAAACAATACTTCACAGACAAGGGGGGGGTCATGGGGGTCATGATTCCCCCCTGGGTACAGATGGACCAAACCCAGGGGGATTTTATTTAAGTACTTTCAATATTTAATATACCACGACTATACGACCCCCCCCCTGGCACCAATGCTGGCTATATGACCCCCCCTGGCGCCAAAGCTGGCTATATGACCCCCCCCTGGCACCAATGCTGGCTATATGACCCCCCCTGGCGCCAAAGCTGGCTATATGACCTCCCCCCTGGTGCCAATGCTGGCTATATGACCTCCCCCCTGGCGCCAATGCTGGCTATATGACCCCCCCTAGCGCCAAAGCTGGCTATATGACCCCCTGGCGCCAAAGCTGGCTATATGACCCCCCCCCCCCTGGCGCCAAAGCTGGCTATATGACCCCCCCCTGGCGCCAAAGCTGGATCCGCCCTTGTGTACTCTAGATAGATTACCCCAAAATTGTTTTATTGAACAATTCCACAGTCTGTACGTAATCAAAAGAAACTCAAAATGCCATGTTTTGTTTTTTATTCGTTAAATCGGGTTTGACGCAGTTTGTCCCATTAGCATTATGTCCTACTAGTTGTGCCCCACGGTGTCACCCGCGGCTTATTAGGAATATTTTCCCGCAAAAAAACGTAGCCCATGTGTCAATCCAGGGTGTCAGCTAATATACTCCATACCAAGGGACATGGTAAAGTTTTGTATGAGCGACTGCCCTGGCAATGTATAAATACTGTACTTAAAAATATTTATAGGTAAATGGCTGTATATTTATAATTTCTATGAAACAAGGCTCAGGAACTTTTGATAAAGTCACAATCTTGAAAATTATGAAAACTCCTACTATGTCATTACCTTACTTACATTTGATAAAAGATGATGCCAATTATTAACAGCGTCATCAATTTCGCATTTTCTTAGAATCTTTCTTCCCATTTCTCTGATTAACTCTTCACAAAAAGTGTTTTAAACCAAAAATAAATACAAATAATTTGTTATCGTCGGCCTGACAGGAAAACTGTGAAGTTTTATTTTGTCCATTTGCAAAAATTAAAGGATTAATTATCATACAGCCTTGTCTCAAGCCTGGTCAGAATAATAAGGTCATGTCAGGCCCTGTCATAGTTTAAAGGAGTTTAGAAATAATATTGTTTATTTCGATATACTTACACAAATATTTTTTGTGTACATTTATTGTTCATTTATTTTGTAAAACGGAACACTTTGCTTTTGAAACAGACGTAAAGTCAATTTTCATACTTTTTAATATTTGTTTATTTCACGAAAGTTCTATGTGAATAATAAACACGTAATAATTAATAAGAAAATATTGTAAAGTTACGGGCTAGTGCGAAATATTTATACACGTTAAGGGCAGTTTCTTAGCCATGTCCTTTTATTAATAAAAGCTCCAGCCGTTTAGACGTGTAGAAGTAACAAACATACACACTCACAAACTTTCGCCTTTATATTATAAGTGTGATAAATAAACATGTAATTTTGAGCTGCGACCGTCGAACTGTCTGTAATTGTTTCAACTCCTGTTAAAACAGTTGGAAAACCCAAGATGCGAATAGGGTATTTGACAAGTATTAGAAAACAATCTCACGTTATTGAATAATGTTTATGGAGTCCGTAAAAAGTGGATATTCATCATTCTGTTGTGTATTTCAGTAAAAATAATCAAATTAAAAATCCATTTTCAAGTTGCCGCGAAAACGTTTCTCTGGACAATATGGCGTCTTACTAGTGTGTGACGTCACACGACTGTTATTGAAACGTTAAACGATACGATGTAATGTCACCTTAACCGGAAGTTTAATTGCGTGTGACGTCATTTTAGGCTACGCCAATCCCAAGCGTTTTGGGTCACGTGACAATAGATAAGAAAACTATTATCTTTTTCGTGGGTTTTTAGTAAAATTATGAATATTTTTTTTTGTAAAAATAGTAAAAGCCCCTGCTAATATTCATTCTAAACACAAATGCTAACAATTGGCACTTTATTTTTAATACTGTCAAATACCTTATTGATATTTATTTATATATAAGTGTTTTTGATTGCAATAAAGAAATAAATAAATAATAATATTTAATAACTAGTTATAATATTGGAATATTTCATTTATCCAAAAACGGTTTTGTGATTAAATATAACGAACAGCTGCAGTCTACTGCACATCGGAATTGGGACTTTGATGTTTGTAAGTAATAAAGTTCATTTTCGTAAGATTGTATGTGCTGCATAAATTATGTTATTGATATCACAATAAGTGTTGTATATTTATTACATTTGTTTCAAATGTGTTTTAAGCAAAGTTATTGTGAATTTACTTATATAGATGCCTATTTTATATAGGAAAATATTTAAATGATCCTCATAAAATTGAAAATGATCGCAGAACACAGTAGAAGGCCTTTGTACGGGAATCGATGTCGCCGGCTCGCCCCCACTACACTTTCACCCAGAGCCGGATCGTGAGTTAAGGGGGCCCTTGGCTAATACTATTTTGGGGCCCACCTAATTACTCAAAGTACCGTAAGTGAGGGTTACTTTAGCTCGGGCGGGTAACTTTGTCCCAAATCAGAAAAAATATTGAACTTTCCGCCCCATCAGTATCTCTTGGGCACTGCCGGATTTAGGGGAGGGCAACCGGGGCGAATGCCGCGGGGCCCCCACAATAGAGACTTCGGAAAAAAAATCTTTCAAATTCCAACTAGTAAACACTAGTAAACTTTCCTTAATAAACATCTTTTCCTTAGTAAACATCTTTTCCTTTGATATTTTTTTTTTGTGCTTTTACCTTTACCTACAGCCTAAAGTACTTTGTACATCTAACCAGGGCCGAATTAAAGGCAGGGCAGGTGAGGCTGTGGCCCAGGGGACTCCACAACAACTTAAGAAATAACAACATTTCGATGGGTCAACAAGCATGCAAATCCTAAGTGGCCCGGGGCCTCCACAATCCTAAATCCGGCCCTGCTCTTGGGGGACCGTAATAGTTCCAGTTAATTTTCTCCTCACATTGTAGGGGTTCTATAATATAAATGGGCTTACATTCAACAAAGTATTTTTTCTACATTGAATGTACTTCTAAGGGGCCATTCAAGTATTACGTAAGCACTATAGGAGGGCAGGGGGGGTCTTTGCATTGCTTATTTTTGATGACCCCCCAGGGTGGGGGTCGAGATAGTGATTACGTCAGCATCATGAGTTCGGGTTTCATGGACTGAAGACTATATACATATACCAAAAATTCGAAAGAAATTTGTTCGTAATAGTACCTTACTCTATGTTGAATACTGTGTCAATAAACTTTGTTTATATGAATATGATGTGCGTTAAATTCTTCTATCCTAAGCCTATTTAAGTACTGCTGCTTATGAAGCTAATGAATCAATACTTATAATATAATATATTACTACTATAATATATTACTTGTAAGAAAAAATAAAAATATTAATTTGTTTCTTAAAAACAGTGATGTTCACACAATTAATACAAGAAACAAAAATAAACTAAAGAAAATATAACTAGAAAAAAAGTCCGCGTGGATTTTTTTTCTAGTTATATTTTCTTTAGATTTAAACATCAAGCAGTTACATGCTTTAAAAATAATAAAAATTATAAAAATAAACTAACTTTACCTGCTACTAGGCTTTACAAAATTAATAATTCATTTAAAGGTCTTTGTGTTCGCTTATACAATAGAGTTCCAAGCAATATCCAAGAGTTAGCCATAAATAAATTTAAAGATATTATAAAAAAAACACTTATTAAAAAAGCTTATTACAAAGTGTCTGATTATATTATAGACAAAAATGCTTGGGTTTGAACTGTTCCAATCATTCCAACAGGTTTTCTATATTAAATAAATCATAATTGTATTGACGTTGTAACAACATAATGATTTGTAAATGTTGTTACATTAGACTTTTAATGTTGTGGAGTTTATTTCGCTCGTTTTTCTCCGCAGCTAAAAAATATGTCCATAACGAGTGGTAGGGAAAAAAAATTTTCGGACGATTCAAAAGAGTTGTACTATACATCCAATTTGAATAAAGATATATTGATTTCTGATTTCTAATAAAAAAAACAGAATACATTAAAGGAAAAATGCATGTAGGTAGCAATGTTTACGTAAGCACGTGAGGGCCCCCCCTCACGTGCTTACGTAAACGTAAAAGTAAGAGCTTTGCTTACTTTTGCTGACAAGGGGGAGGAGGGGTAAATAATTGTCATAAATCTGCTTACGTAATACTTGAACGGCCCCTAATCATTGTATCTACTGCTTTAAAGAAAACAATTTTAATTTTTGAAGTTATACTTCTTTAGGCGCGTTATGAAAAAATGATGAGAGTGAAATTTTAAGATGCGCGCGCATCACTGTAACACAAAAAATTAACTTTACTTTTGTGTTTACCGCACATTAAGAAAATCTACCAACAAAGTAGAAATAGAATCTCTATTTTGTGGGTGCTAACGACTGCATTGTGAAGGCCTATCAAAAGTATTTATTAATCTGGAACAACGGAACCAATGCGCGATTCAGGAGAGTACAGCGCCATCTCTTGACCATTGGTGTAGTAGAACCAAAAACCACATCTTTATTTTTTGTAATAAAGTAACAGTTATAGGTATTCATATTTATAATATTTATCCACATGTTTCTAGTTTGTATATTCGGAATACGTGTTTGAGTTTCATACAAGTGCAAATCACATATGTTCTAATAAATTATATTCAGTAGCGATTTTAATTGAATATTTTGATTATTTATTTAATTTTTCAAATTAAAACTGAACTTTATTGACTGTGTCCTTTTCCAGACTTTTTATTAATTTATTGTAATTAATTATTTGCATGCAATTAAAAACTAATTTTAAACGATGCCAAAGAAGGATAACTTCTCACGCGCCTACATAAGTACACGCACCCATTTTTCTTTCCTTAGTGAATCACTAGTTCATCTTTAGACATCTATTTTGAAAATATTATATCTGTTATGGAAATTCAGCGATATTTGTCTGTCTGAATTTCCGATCTGTTTACTTTAATAAAAGTATGGATTCTTTCGCATTATCGTCTATTTTTGGCTTTGACTTGATTTAGCTAGGAGCCCCTTGAATCCACGGGGCCCTGGCGGTCATTCGCCTAACTGAAATGCTTTGGAAAACGCTAACGTTTTCGATTTTATTTTGTTATTTCTGACCGCTGAAGGTTTTCAAATACCTCCCGATTTTTTTAATATTGTTATTACCAATGCAAAAGAAAAAAAAGCGCGAGGCATTAGAAAACCTCATCGTAAGCGTTAGCGTTTTCCATAGCATTTCCGTTAGGCGAATGGCCCCCTGGGCTGAAGCCCAAAAAGCCATATGGTAGATCCGGCCCTGTTAATAGATAATAGCCAATCGAACGACGCGACATCGAACAATCGAACCAATCAGCACTCACAGCCCGTGAGCAACGACGCAATCAGAACCAAGTTTTGGTCAAGTTATGAGCATTTGCTCACACATAACTGTGGCGCGCCTGCCCCGTCCACAAGGCCTTTCTAACCTCTTTCTGTGTTCCGTGACCTATAAATACAAATCGGTAATTGAAAATCAATTATGATTTTTGATGATCATTTAAATATGTGCCTTTTACATATAAAATAAAATGACTTCCATAGCCAGTTTCATTTAATGCATTTGATTTCTGAACTTAACTACATCTACATGCCCCGCATATAACCAACTATATAAGAAATAGAGAAAATTCTATACGACATATGTCGAATTTTCTCTAGTACTTCTTACACGACCATCAGGGCCGCGGTAGCATAATGGTCAGTGCATTCGCCCGGATAGCGAAGGGTGCGAGTTCGAGTCCCGTCTGCTGCCTGGTCCGCGTGGAAATTTTTCTAGTAATTTTTTCTTTAGATTAAAACATCTAGCAGTTGAATGTTTGAAAAATAAAAAGATAATTCATCAGAAGTTATTGCAAATATATGCTGAGGGCTAAAAAATATGTTATTCACTTCATTCATTTCTTTCTTTTCTGTTTATGTGGCTGGGACAATTACAGTTTGGTGCCGCGCCCATCACAAAAACCATTTACGGTCATCCGATACCGAATGAGGGCTACCGTTTTCTGCCTCACCAGATGGCGCCACTGTTGAGTGAGGTCCTGAATTGTAACTTTTAATGTTTATTAATACGCGCGTGAAATCAAAGTATACATTTAAATCATATTTTAATACAAAAGAACCGTATTCTAAACATAATTGGCCATACCACAGTGTTGCGCAGCTCCGTTTTGTACGGCAAATAGGCGGACATAATTATTTTTCTTAGCTCCGCTTTTAAATAACTGACATTCAATGCCACGTAACTCATATTTGCTATAATTAAGCCGAGTTATTACTAAATATTCACAACATTATTTTAATTAGAAATAAATCCGCGTAGTCAACCCACAACCAATAACATTTGATATTTCGGAGACCTCACGCTACACAAGCGCCTCTAGCGGCGGATTCATACGCGATAGCCCTCATTGTGTAAGATAAGTCATATAACAATGCAGAGTCAACTAAGCGGCGATGCAGCCACAATACATACAAGAGCAGTAGCGTAACTCAGCCGTTTTCTTGAAATAGATACCTACGACAGACTGCTGAGCGGAGCGCTAGGGTTGGTTCCTACAAAATGTAATAAATAATATTTCCGACACTCTGATCGGGAAGCTAAATGTCCCGATTAATCAAAAAATGAAAGGACATTGGGCAAAAATGTATGGACCCTGCACCCACGTCCGCCACGGCTTAAACTACATTTTCATCCCACCACCTCGGAAAGTGTAATTTTGCGCTTCGAAATCTGGCTGGAAAATTCTATTTTATTCGCTTGAGCGGCAAAGTAGATTTGAATTTAGAACATCACATATAATGAGTACTCAATATAATTGTAAATTCAAAACGTCATTAAACCTATTTAATGTAACCTCTATGGTGCCAAATTTATGATTAGAACTTTTTAAATTGTGAAAAAATTTAAATTTGGAACCTTCTTGGTTTCTTTGTTTTATTTGCGTGCTTCGCGCCATTCTAGTTTTTCACGTTTTATTGCTTAATATAATTAACATAACCTAAAAACTGTACAAAAAAATCAACTAAAATGAGTGACATTAGCGACGATGAAGTTTATCTAACGCCAACTGAGTTAACTGAAACAGTTAATAATGCGCAAATGAGCCTTCTCCCTCAGCAATCACGAGAGAAGTATTTGAAACAGTACGATATATTTAACATGTGGCGACTAGCTAAAGGAGCAAAAACTTTCTCCGAAAACGTTTTGCTGGCATATTTTATAGAATTATCTGAGACCAAGAAAGCAAGCACGCTGTGGAGTACGTATTCAATGCTAAAATTAACAATTAAGATGAAGAAAGACGTTCATATCGACACCTATCATAAATTAGTGGCATTTTTAAAAAGAGCCTCATCTGGTTATAAACCAAAAAAAACGAAGGTTTTCACAGCATCTGAAATTGCAAAGTTTATTAATGAAGCACCTGATTCCGTATATTTAGCGGCAAAAGTAAGTCAATACGTGTAATTTTTTGTTGTTGATAAAATTGTACATAGTCCTCTTCCCCCCGGACCGCCGTATAGTGCTAACGTGTTATTAGTTCTGTTACACTTTCAAAACAAAAATAATATTACATTCTGCAAAATTAAATTAAAACAAAATAATAGGAGTGCATGACTATTGAGGAGGTGAAGCAGCAACAACACAGCGCAACGCGTAAGCCTATTGACAAATCAATTACTAGTTGACACCCCTCCTGCGTGTGATTAGTCGCACCTCTCCACACGCCGCGCCCACTACGCGTCGACAACAGCCCTCCTGCGCCTGATTCGCAAGACGCTGCAAGCCGAGCCCGCTCCGTGACGTAATACAGAAACCGGTAACAAATCCGTACGCTCATTAGTATTGTCTGCGCAGTCACTGCTTTGTGTATACCTCGGTTAAGTTCTACACATCTCTGCTATCCTAGTACATTATGAATACAGAAGGTAACACAAACGTTGTATTGGACGGCGACTTGTCGATCTCGTTATCGGACGGGGACGGGTCGCCGATTACCTTTGTAACTCAGCGCTCACAGAGAAAAAATGTTAATAATGACACGAATACATCATTGGGTGACCAGTTTAACATTTTTAGGGATGAGATGAAAAAACTTATGACAAGTTTTACAACGTCGAGCAAGCAAGAACTCAAGGATCTCAGTACGATTCTCAAGGAAATTAAAGAATCTAATCACAGTATTGAGAGTTCTATTGCTTATTTAACTGCACAAAATGAGGAATATAAGAATAGAATTGCATCATTAGAAAATTGCGTTAAGGAAGACAGGAAGTATATTGTGTTATTAGAGGAAAAATTAGAAGATATCCAAATTGGAAATCGCAAAACCAATTTTGAACTGAAAAATGTTCCGAAAAAACCTGAAGAAAATAAACAGGATTTGATAGATATGGTTGTTTGTTTCTCGAATACCATAGACTGCCAAATAAATAGAAGTGACATTAAAGATATTTACAGATTACGCGGAAAAAAACCAGATCAAAAGAATACCTCAATAATAGTGGAAACTACCTCTGCTTTATTAAAAGCAGATGTCCTAAAAATGGCTAAATCATTTAACAAACGGAACAAGACAAAACTATGTGCCAAACATCTTGGATTTAAAACCAACGAAGACACACCTATCTTTTTGTCAGAACACCTAACAGCGCGAGGGTCTCGTCTTCATTATCTGGCTCGAGATTTAGCTAAATCCAAGGGGTATAAATTCTGTTGGACTGCATATGGTAAAGTATACGTGCGTGTTGAAGAAAAATCACCGACTATTCTTATAAGGAGTGAAGAACAGGTGCACAGTCTGCTATCAAAGGATTGACTATTTATTGGTAATGAAGGTATTTATGGCTTATTGCTGTACAAGGCTTTTGATCAGGAATTGCGCGGTCTACTGTTAAAATTTTATAATTATTTTCTTTATGTTAACTTGTTGCTTTTTATATTGTATATATTTCTTTTGTATTATGCTTTTCTGTGCTGTTTTGTAATATTTATAATTGACTTTAGTAACATGGTGTTCTGCATGTACATGTTGCTTTTGCGCTGGATATTATTGTGCTTAGGCGAGTGTCACTCGCATAACTTGCTTACTGTTTGCTTGTATAAGTTTGTACTCCTGGTCTACAAGATTACGCTTTTTGTACACTTAAAATCACATACACATTTAAACCTATTTTATAGCATTTATATTCACATATACACCCACATGAAAACACACACTATTACATATTTATACTTACATAACTCTTATAAAATGACACATTACTTTGAACATACTCATACTAACAGATATACAAGTGCTTCTGCTTATATTACTCATATGTTTCACGATGAAACTACTATAATTTTACTGCTCAGCTTGATTTATCATATTCTATATATGGACTGTGACTGCTATATTAAAATAATAAAAATAACCTATATTAAATTACTTTTATTTGATTATCTATGGATTACATATGCTGTGGCGACTCGTTTCTTTTTATTTTATTTAAATGTGTGACACAGTGCAAACAATTCATGAATTAGATGCACTAGAGGTGGCTAGGTCTTTCGACTGCGATGTCTCTGAACTATCAAAACGAATTTGTATACAAAAATGCGATTTTACGATGCTTTCTCAAAATATACGAAGTATATATAAGAATCTTGATGATTTCTTGTTGACTATATCTCACCTATCACTAGATGTAGACGTAATTACTTTGAGTGAATGTAGAATTGATAAGAATAAGCCTATACCACAACTTCCAAATTATCAATCTTATTTTACTAACATACAATTGAATCAAAATGATGGAGTTGTAACTTATGTAAAAAACACATTAAAACACAAAGTGCGTGAAATAAAACTCACTCAAGCTTCTTGTCTTCAACTAGAGATTTTAAATAATACTATTTTGTGTATTTATAGATCGCCTTCTAATGTTAATGCAAATGATTTTATAAGTAGTTTGGGTACTCATTTGGACTCTCTGAATTCTTGCAAAAGTATAGTAATAGCTGGTGATATTAATATAAATATTTCACTTAAACCCTTAGAACCACCACACGAACAAAGGAATCGCATTGATTATCTAAACATGCTTTCATTTCATGGTTTGCTTGCAGGTCATACGATACCTACTAGAGGCAAGAATTGCTTAGACCATTTTATGTTAAGAATTAATAAAACTAAGCTCCGAGCCACTATTGCTGTGTTGCACACAAGCACCACAGATCATTTTACAACATTTCTTACAATAGCAAAACTCAAAGATCGCCAAACTACATGCAAGACTAGGACTAATGTCAATTATGAAGCCGCTTTGAAGGGCCCTATGAATAAAAATGTTACAGAATTATTATATTGTGATGATCCTGACATAGTCATTAATAGTTTGATATTAAAATTAATGGAGACCGTTAAAGAGAACACTGTTATTACAAAAATACCAAGAAAATATCGTAATATAAAACCATGGATCACACCGGGGATCTTACGTTGTATTCGGAATAGAAATAAATTGCAAAAGAAAGTAAAAGATGATCCTTTTAATGAAACAAATAAAATTATTTATACAAGATACAGAAATTATTGTAATGCTCTTCTTAAAAAAATCAAACGCCAGTATGAGAGAGAATTATTGAATAAATCTATTAATGATAATAAGTTGCTGTGGAGAAACATCAGAAACATCACATGTACAAGTAAAATTAATAAAATAAACTCTGATTTACTTAATATTAAATCTACTCCTGCAGCTTCTGCCAATTATATTAATGATTTCTTTGTAAATATTGGTAAAAACTTGGCGCATCAAATTCGGCCCTCAGATGTGGAAAGCAGTAGCTATTTGAGTAACTTACCAAAACAGTGTAACTCCTTTGTTCTTATGGACACTGATCATGGTGAGGTAGGTGATATAATACAGTCCTTAAAATATAGCAGTGCCCCGGGATGGGACGGTATTCCAACCAGTTTTATCAAATACGCAAGATCATATATTGTTCCAATTATAACTCATTTTGCTAATCTGTGTTTTAAAAAGGGGACTTTCCCGTCGGTACTGAAACGGTCAATAATCAGTCCAGTTTATAAGGCTGGGGATAGAGACAGTGTTAATAATTACAGACCAATCTCTGTGCTACCTGTAATTTCTAAAATTATAGAAAAACTGTTAAATGCGAGGCTGCTTAGCTATCTAAATAAATTTGACATCTTATCACCATCTCAGTTTGGCTTCAGGCGAGGGAAATCAACTGAAGATGCAGTTTTGGCACTTACATCGTTTGTTACTGAGCAGCTCGATGCTCATAAAAAATGTATTTCAGTATTTTTGGATTTACAAAAAGCTTTTGACACTGTCTCTATACCCATTCTGGTGAGAAAACTAGAAGCGATCGGACTGAAGGGAGGTTCTCTTGAATTGTTCAAAGATTACTTGTCGGATAGGCGGCAAAAGACAAAGTTAGATTCCTTCACTAGTGATGATGCAGCAGTGACATATGGAGTGCCTCAGGGAAGTGTCCTTGGACCTACATTATTCCTTATATATATCAATGATCTTTGTGCCATGAACATTAAGGATGCAAAAATTTTGTCGTACGCTGATGACACTGCAATTGTTTTTAGTGCAGACTCTTGGGAAGCTGTAAGGGAAACAACCGAGAGCGGCTTGAAACAGATAAGCAAGTGGTTACGGAATAATTTTCTTACACTCAACACTGCTAAAACAAATTATATCTGTTTCAGTCTATATAATAACGGACAACCAAACAATGATTTTTGTTTAAAGATACATGGCTGTAATTTTAGAATAGGTGGAGTTAATTGTAACTGTCCGGTTCTTCAAAAGGTTGAGAATGTTAAATATTTGGGTGTCTATGTGGATCAGAGATTATCTTGGTATCAGCATTTAGAACATGTAACTTTAAGACTCAGAAAGCTTACTTGGATTTTCAAGACACTCAGGTACATAGTACCAGTCCCAAAAAAGGATAAGGGTGATTGTAGTTCGGTAAGAGATCTCCTTAAAGAAATTTATATTTCGTTGGCCCAATCTATATTGACATATTGCATACCTGTATGGGGTGGCGCAGCCAAAACGCGTTTTATTGATGTTGAGCGCGCTCAGCGAAGTCTCATTAAGGTCATGTATTTTAAAAAAAGGCGATTTTCTACTGAGTGCCTCTACAAAATTAGTAATTTATTATCTGTAAGGAAGCTGTACATAGTTCATGTTATTCTAAAAAAACATAAGTCTCTAGCGTATGACCCTAAGATTTCAAAAAGGAGAAGGAAAGACATTATTATTCGTGCTCCTAGAACCAACACTTTATTTGCTAGCAGTCAGTTCAATAGTCGATCTATACACATATACAACACCATTAATAAATATATCGCTGAAAGAACCTCTGTCAGATTCTTGGTCTCGCCCTTCTACATCTAAAATGAGCCCCCATAAGATTGGAAACAATAGCCCTCTCTCGCCAACATTTACGCCAATAGAATCCAATGAATCGGCACAACTATTTAAAATTACTGATACGAGTAGTTTACCACAAAACAGCGCACAATTCACAAACACCAACATAACATTACCTAACAAAAATATTAAACTTAACATAAGTAACTGTAGCAACGTTACATTTAATATTTCTTAATTATTTTCTACTTCTTATTATTTTCTTCAATTTATAGATTATCTTAATGTGTTTTAATTGAAATAAAAATATTTTGTCATTATAAATTGTTTTCTTTTTCATTTTGTCATTTCCTCGCTGAGGTGGGATGAAAAGTTACGTATTGCACTCGAGTGGAAAGATTTTTCACCTTGTGCTCGTTTGTTTCCCTCGCTGACGCTCAGGATTCTAATTTAGAATCACTCGCTGCGCTCGTGATTCAACTTTAGAATCCTTCGCTTGCTCGGTCATCCAAATCGAGCACGCGGTTAAAAAGGAACTTTCCACTCTTGTATAATAAATAACTATTGTTTGAAAGGTATTATAGTCATGATCATATGTGACAAAGCGCATCAAATTCCATCCCGGGGGTCTTTAGATACAAATCAATCAAGTGACAGGGAGGGAGCGCACAATCACAACGAAGTAAGACTATTTGCAACTGCAAGTCGTTCATCCCCCGTAAACCGTTTTGAGGTGGCTCAATGAGTGAAGCGCAGGGTGGTCGGCAGGCTTTGTCGTATATCTGGTTGTATATAGTATAATATGGCATATTATTATGGTTACTAATAACATAAAATGAAGGCACTATAAAGTGAATTTATTTAGCTACTTAAATTTTAAGTGAATTCACTTTACATGGGCATATATAATATGCACATGTGTCATATCTTTTGACTACCAGGATATTTTTTTACGGTGTCATAATAAAAAAGGCTAGTTTTTCATAGATCTTTCGATTCATACTAATTACATTGTTGGCGGAGCTGGGTGTGTTTTGCCCATTGTCCTTTAGGTAATTAATATAATACTATACTTGCACTAGTAGTTTAAAACGCAATAAATTAAACCCAGACTTAAAACCACTTGTGTTTTGTTTACTGTCCCGATCTGCAACCCTAAATCCCGATTGTTTTGACCTCATGTACCCATTTAAAACAATTCGGACCTGGCAACACTAGTCACGATCCCCCTGGGCTGGGTCCATCTGTACCCACTTCACAATCTGTACCCACTGTGACTTGACCACGACTATATGACCCCCTCCCTGGCGCCAAAGCTGGATCCGCCCTTGTGACCTACTGCGTTTGCTCTGTATTTCCAGTCGCCCCCGCGGGTTTGCCACCGGTGGCAAAAGGGTATAAAAAGAACAGA